CGTAAATCTGAAGAGCCTAAAAGCGGTTTTAGTCCCCCTTTAAGCCAAGCTTAGGGTGCTTTGTGGGGGGAGGCTCTGGGCTGCCCCCGGCCAGGAAGGAGCGAGCAGGGAAGCGCTTCATTTTCGAAAGCCCTCGATTATTTCGGAATCGATTTTATCGAGTGAAAGCCGTTGTTGGAAGAGAGACGCTTGGTCAAGGAGTGGGGGGGTGGGGGGGTGGAAATCCGATTCAAAGGGGGTTCTCTCGCTGGGGGAAGGGATCCCCAAGAGGAAGAAAACCTTGGGGGAGGGGGGGGGATATTTTGGAACTTCAGCTCAAGTCAGAAGCCGCAACTTTCGCTTCGCACAACCACTTATTTTTTTCTTCCCTGTCAGAAAAGGTAGAGTCCCTGTGAACGGAGCCGAGTAAATACACTAAAAAAGAGAGGGGGAGGAAAGGATCGGAGTCATCCCAGGCAGCAAACGGGGCAGATACCCCCCTCTCCACCTCCCCTGACATTTTTGGGTTTGTTTCATGCAAAAGAAGCACCCGTTTCTGGGGTTTCTTTTATTTTTTTCAAGCCCCCAGTTCAAAGGGTCGGAAACGCGGCCATAAACAGCGGCTTCACCCTCCGAGGTGCCGTGATCAAAGCCGTTTTCTTTCTAAAGATAAAATGAACGTTTATATAGTGAGAAAGCGAGATTGATTTACGGATTTAAACACGCCGTTCTTATTGCGGATCATAAATCTGTCACCGGGGCTGAGAAACTCCCAACCCGCTCGCCGAGCTTTTAAAGCTACTCAGAGCTATAGAGGGGGTGCACGGTCCCCCACCAGCACCCACATAGGAACAGACCCCCCCATATCCTTGCATATATAGACAGATATCACATATATATTTATTTCGACTTCCTCTTTACCCTTTCTGTCCAGTAACTACTCAGTGGATTGAGTTATAGCATTTTCTCACCCTTTTTTGTCCAATTTTGCAACTAAGGGGTAACAAAGGGGCTCAGCTCTGGTCGAACCGGTGCTGGGGGTAGGAAATGGGGGTTCCAGCTCGCGGGAAGGGGGTAAGAGATCCCCGAGTGTCTCCCCCCCGCCGGGTGGGATCCCCCCTCACAGCTCCGCACCGCTCCGCGCTGCTCCGCTCAGGCAGCTGAGCACAGAGAGGCTTTTGAGAGCGCCGTGGGCAGGAGCGAAGTGGGAGGAGGTGCGGGGGGAAAGCGGGGGGGGGGCTCTCAAACAAAGGAATTTCTGAAAATAAGAAGCGAGATGAGACGCGGGAAGGGGCGGGGGGCTCCGCTCCTGCGCTGCGGGGTTGGGGTTGTTTCCCCCCCCGAGTCTGCGGGGTAAACCAGGGCTCTGCTCGCAGAGCCAACGCGGCGCGGAAGCTCCGCTCCTTCCCTCTCTTTTCTCACTCCGAAGCAACACGCCAAGACAGAGGGCTTTGAAGTGAAATCAGAGGGGAAAGCGTCTGTCGGGCCCGGGCTGGGCAGCAGAACCATTAAACCGTGAGAAAGCAGAAATAACCCCACTTCTAAGACCCTTCTTCATTCCTTTCTCTCTTCCCGTCCCCCCGTCCACCCCCCCCAACCCTGCCTCCCGGGGCTGGTTCCCGGCTTCCACGGCCCGAGGCCGCGGTGAGGGCCAGGCCGGCGGGACCTCGCACACGCAAAGTTTTGCTGCGCTGCGGGCTGAGCACAATGTCCAGCCTCGGGGAGGTCAAGGGGTTTGCGAGGTCACTCCCTGGCTATAATACACAGCTAATCGCCTAGAAAACGTGTCCTCTGCTTGAACTCTCTTCCCCCGATCGGGGCTTGCCAGAGCTGGAGTTTGTCTCCCCACTTTTCAGCCCTTTCCTTCACTACGGTGTTCCCACACCGCTACCGGGAAGAGGCAGGAACCAGCACCCAGGGGACACCGGCACTACCGGGACAAAGACATCCCCTGGAACCCCCACATTCTGGAGCACCCAGACCCCCGGGGACACCCGCACCAGGGGATCCCCGCACCCCAAAACCCCTTAAACCCTCCCCACAGCGGTCCGTGACAGGCGGGAGATGTTGTTCAGGGAAAGAAATATTTGTAAAAGGGAAAACGATGGAAAAGGGATGAAAAAACAGGAACGAAAGAGGGTTCTCCCCTCTCCAGTAGTCCCCCATGGACCCTCGCCAGTGACCCCGCAGCGAAGCTCCACGGGGCCGATCCCGCACACGCAACAGCCCCAAATCGAAGAGAAATCCACACACATCCCTCACCACGAATAACCCGCCTGGAAACTCTCTCTGCCGCTTGCCTCGCTTACACCGGCCAAAACAAAACGAGAAAGCAGAAGGGAAAGCCCGCACAAGCATTCACGTGTTGTTTTTCTTTCTGCCCTTTTTCCTTTCTGAGCTCCTTTTTTCCCCCTTTTTTCCTCGTGCTTCCCCAGCTTTCTGCTGGAAGAGGCAACAAACAGACCCGAAACGCATGCCAAGAGAGCAGCTCTGTTACCTGGTTCGCTCCCACATCCTTTTTCCAACGCCCCAGAGACGGCCCTCATGGTTTGGGTGGTTTCTTCCAAAGTGAGAGGTCTGGGGGAAGGGGATCCCTTTGAGAGGGGGATGTTTTGCTTTTGTTTTTCTCCCCCAAAAATAAAGCTTTCACCTTTACGATCCAGATTTTATTATTAATAAGATTATTTCCCCTGAAGATTCTTGTAGAACTCCGGGTGCTTTTTTCCCAACAGACGGTCTGCGGAGATTTGCTGTTGAATAACAATGGGAAAAGGATAAGTATTTAAAGAAAAGAAGTGATTAATGATTTTCTGTATAATTCTCGCATTTTTCTTAGCTTCTGTCTGCTTCTAATGGCTGTGAACTTTTAGGTCCTATAGAAATCTTCTTTTCTCCCCCTTCTATTCTATTCATACTTTCCAGCTTTGATTTGCTTCTATAGACCCCACATTCCTGGAAGCATATGCCTTTTTCTTTTTAAAAATAGAACGATTTTTTGCCATTCTTAGAAGCACTATCTCGAAAATAACACCCTCTTTACAACCCCCGCACATCAAAGAGAGAAACAGGAAAATAAAACTCAACAACACCCCCACAACACCCCAGACTCAGGCATGGCAATAAAATACAGCCCTTGCCACCCTCCCTGGGAAAAAAAGAAGGGCTGAAATAGAAAGAAACTTGAAAGGTTTGTAGTTGCTGCTGCTAAACCCGCCATAGTAAACCAAAAATACAGCCATAAATCCATTTCTCCTACATCACAGCTGTGCCATGTGACTACATTAATATTATTTTAAAGTATGAAAATGTCAATAGAAAGAAAAATCGAGCGGCCTTTGTTCGAGCTGGGGGCAGGGACACTTGGGGGGGGGGGGGAAAGGACGGGACGACACACACTTTATTTGCGCGGTGGCCGTGCGGTGACTGAGTACAACTCAAGGAATAACCCATCCACACACCCTGGCTTGGAAATATTTCAAGCCTTGCCTTTGTTTGGGAAGAAATGCAGGGGGAATATTTCGGTCCTGATGGGGGGTCCGGGAGAATTCCACGAGCATTGAACAAATAAGCAAAAGTCATTTTTTGCCTTGAGAGGAGAGCATAAGAAAACGACCCTTTTCTTCAGCTGGTGCCGAGGATTCCACCCCTGACAGACCCCCCTGAGCACAATAGTCCAGTTTTTATATATTTGGAACCTAGGACTGGAATGTTATTTCGTCCTGAACCGTATTTTCGATACTTTCTATGAGGAAGAAAATGAAAATTAATACAAGAGCTGCGGCTCACAAAAGGAGCCATTTGTCTTCTTGATTATCTATTTGCTTGTCAGGCTCTGAGCTATCGCAGGAGCCAGCTCCTTTGTAATATCAAAACACACAGAAAACCTGCAAACACCGAGAAACATCTGTGCAAAAATTAGACTCATTAATGCATTAACTACCTCGGAGAAGGAGATGTGGGGTCTTTTTTTAAACCCGAGAAGTCTCTCTAGAGAAATCCATCGCTCCATCCATTCCTCACAGCAAAGCAAAGCGCTAATGACTCCCTCTGTTTTGGCTGAGCCCAGTTTGGGAAGAGCATATTAATATATGCTTAGAACAAATAAATCATAATATGTACGGCTTAGCAGTACTTAAAGCTGATATACCCTAGTCAAACATCTTTTGTTTTCATTAGGGACTCGAGGCTGTGCCACTGGCACCAGAAATGCCTGTAAAAAAGAAACGTGCTCTTTAATTCCTTCCTTGAAAACAGGTATTTTTTGGATCCTCACCAGAATAAAAAGTCAGCACCCCCCTCCCCACAATAAAAACCACGCAGGGGCAGGTTCACAATGAACAGATTTATTTCCAATTGCGCTTTTTGTGGCTGCTGTTGTTTCTTTTCTCTGCTCATTACAGGTAATCCTAGACAGCAAGGACAAAGGGAGGGGAGGAAGGGTATCGGGGTGGGGGGGGGCCTTGCCAAGGCTCTGGCTCACCCCGGAGGGACAAACCTTCACCCCTCCATCCCGAATTCACATTTTCAGTACAAAACTGGGCTCCACAGCAGGAGAGGGGGGTTCCCCCCTCCTCATGCTGGCCTGTGGGGGTGAATCCAGGTGCCACAGTTCATCACCCTGTTCCTAAACTACCCCACCTCCCCTTCCCAGAGTCACTATTAACGTACTGGAAATAAAATAGCAGGGGGGATGGTGGTCATGATGATCCTCCTGCTTTCTTTGTCCACCACCCATTTGACCTAGTTTTCCCTTCCTCCCCCCCTCCCCAGGGTATTCCCCCACTTCCACTCAGGACGAGCGCAGTGTCCTGGAGCCCCCCCCCCCTCCGCACCCCCGTGGATTTGGGTTGTGTTTGTTGCGGTTTCCCCCCTCCATGGCAGGGCCGTGTTAGAATCGCCGTGTCTTTGGGATGGCGGGATAGAAACTTCCCGTTCGTGGCTGGCAGGCGAGAAGGGAAAAAGAAGAGGGGGAAAAAAAAGGGGGGGGGGGTAGGTGGAGGGGGGAGAAAATCCAGTTCGCCTTGAAGAAACTGAGCCTCATTTATTAAAGTGAGCGCTGGTTGTCGAGGTAATAGCAGACATAAGGTCCATCCTTTGTACGGGAGAGTAAACATGACAAATGGGGCAGAGCTTGGCGTGATTAAAGATGAAACAAGGATCCATCTTAGCCAAATCTGAAAACTACTATCTACAGCCTCCTCTTAATGGAAGAGGCACAGCAGCCCAGCTCTGCTTTGTTGCAGCTGGGTCTCCCTGTTTCCCCTATAAATAAAGAGCACCCCTCCTTCCCTCGCTTCTCGGAGCATTAAAAACAAAGTACCATGTGTTCCCTACGCACACACAAACTCACAAACACGCACACTCCATCCATCCATCCATCCATCCATCTATCCATCCATCCATCCATGCATGCATCCAAGGAATAGTTATAGGCTGGTAGCTGGTCCATGGGATCGGTTTTGAGATCCTCCTTGTGGGATCTGCAGGCTGGCAGAGGAGCTGGAAGAATTAGACCTGATCTTGGTATTTGGTAACTTGTGATCTTTTTTCCATTTCATCCTCCTGTTCTGGAACCAGATTTTGATCTGGCGCTCGGAGAGGCAGAGGGAATGGGCGATCTCGACCCTGCGCCTCCGGGTGAGATAACGGTTATAGTGAAATTCCTTCTCCAGCTCCAGGACTTGCTGCCTGGTGTAGGCTGTACGGGAGCGTTTCGGTTCCCCTCCTGAGTAATTGGGGTTTACTGAACAAACAAAGGAGGAAAAAGAAAAAGGAGAAGAAGGAAAAAAAAAAAGGAAGAAAAAAACAAAACAAAGAGCAGAAGAATTACCGAGCTGTTCCTTTAACGGGTCCTTTCCCCCCAAAAAAGCATCTCACATTCTTTTGGTGGGGGGATACACTCAAAACAACACACCACAAACCTGCTAAAAATACACCCAGAACCTATCTGCAAATCTCCACCTCCGTCCTCGCTGCTTGACGTGTATTCCTGTCTAAACGTTTTTATAAGGTCCCCTAGACACATTTTCCATGCCCTCTACGTGTGTGTATACACACACACGTATATATATATACACACACCTCTACTTGAGCATCACTGTATTATCCCCAAATCTTTAAAGTTCCCCCTGCACACATGCAAGCAGGGAAACGCAGGCACTCCTTGTTATTAAATATCACACACCAAAAAAAAAAAAGAAAAAAGAAAAAAAAAAGGGGGGAGGGATAGTAAAAGTTTACTCAACCCGCCACTTAAATACAAATTACGAAAACATAAAACTTAACTTATGAAGATTCAACAGCCATAAAAAAAAAAGTAGCCTGCAAGAAATTGGAGGAGGATGGTAACAGAGACTTCAAAGGCACATGGCCAAGCAGAGCAATAAAAATTTATGGAGGATGTAATTATACCGCTCTGCAAACAGGCGATCGTAAATCTCCGCGAATGGTTATTTTACAACTGGTGCAATAGGATTTCTACAAGACTTTGAGGTGCTACTCGGTATAAAGCGAAGCGCTTCGGCTCACTTACCCGTGCTTACATGGACTTTCTTCATCCAGGGGTAGACCACCGGCTCCTTGCAGGGGGGGGCGGGCGGGTTCCGGGGGTCCTGGCTGCAGGAGGGCGGCGGGCTGGGGGTGCCCGGCTGGCGGGGGGGGCCCGCCGCGGGGAGGTGGCCCCGCAAGCCGGGTGGAGGACGGCCGTGACCCCGGGGGGACGGCAGCGCTGCTGGGCGGCCGGCGCTGGGACAGGAGGAGTAGAGCTGCTCCTCGCAGGCTGACCGCGGCGGGTACATCGCGTCATGGTGGAAAGTGCCCTCTCGCCTCTGGCTGCCGTAATATTCCGGCGAGTGACTGGGAAGGTAATCGCTGTGGGAATACTCTTCACAGGGTGGGAACTTGGGGTCCACATAGTTGGAGTTGATCAAAAACGAGCTCATGGCCATTAATTTCTTAGAATTGCACACACGGAAAAAAAAAATATATATATATCTATCTATCTCTCCTAAAATTTATCCCCGTCCCCCCCTTTACTCGTTTTCCTGTTTCGCGGAACCCTCCTACTTACTGTCAAGTGAACAAAGTTGAGTCCATGTGACAGCGCGGGCCAATGGCGAGGGGCCCCGCGGTCCCCGGATAAGGAAACCTGCCCAGCCCGGGCTCTCCCGGGGCCCTGAGCACCCCCGGGAGGAGACCGGGGGCTCCCGCTCCCCCCTCCCCAGCCCCGACCCCGGCCCTGCCGGCCCCGAGCCCCGCAGCGCCTCGCGGGCGAGGACCGGCCCCCACCCCTCCGGGGGTGTGTCCTTGGCTCGGGGCGGGGGGGGGGGTGGGAGAAGGAGGAGGGGTGGGAAAAAAGAAATGCATCCATCCCCCCCCCCCAACAAAACCAGATTTCATTAAAATAGAAGTAAAAAATGATTTTTGCGGGGCTCGGGGCTCGCCGCTGCTGCCCCCGTACACGCTCCCCGCGGGCGGGGGCTGCAGCGCATCCCCCGCCAAGGTGATGCGGGAAGGGTCGAGCCTGGCAGAGATGAATAGGGCTCGTTGGGGATCGATAAGAAATTCATCAGCTAATTCGGGGTGCCCGGTGTCCTAAATCACATTTCTGAGATTGACCGTTTTCCCACGCACCGGTGGTAAAGGGAGCCCATCCTCCGAGCAGGGAATCAGGGACTTGATGAACAATTACAAAAGCGAATTAGCCCAAGTCCTAATGCATCTTCCGCTCGCCCTTCTGGTAATAAAGACGCTTTAAAAGCCAAAGCAAACCCGCAGCCTTTCAAAAGCCACCATCCCCACAAAGCCGGGTTTAAACCCGAAACGCGCAATAAGCTCCTCGCAAGCAGTAATATGTGTGTGTGTATATGTATATATATATATATGTTAGTTTTGTTGGTGTCAGTGCTGAGATTACACAACCTAAAGCAATAGTGGGCTCCTAGTTCTTAGATGGCAGCAATAATGCCCCTTCCTTCCCCTTCTTCCCCCCACCTCCCCTCAAGCACAGATTTTATCTCGAAGTGATGATAAAGTTTATCGCAGGAGAGCTGAAGTTGAGCTAAGGTCAAATCCAAAGTATTTCTTTTCAGCCAGAAAACGTTTTTCTGGTGAAGATCTTGTTTTCACCCTTTTATTTAAGGTTGTGGGGTGTGGGTGGCTCTTTTTTGGGGGGGGTGGTGGTTTGTTTTTAGTGCCTTCTGGGTGTGTGACCTGTAGTGTTTGTGTCAACTACATATTCCCCTAGATACGAATTTGTGACCCAACTTCCTTTACACAAATTCGGATCTACAGGGTACATATAGAAGACAGATGCATCCTCCTTGGTCAGAGATCTTCGCCTACCGCCATAATTATCTTCTGGGGAGGGAGGGCAGTGTTTTGGGACTCGAGAGATCAGGAATTAATCTATAGGTAAAGACGGTTCAAAGATTTCACTCTTCAGAGGAAAGACGATTAATTGAAGCACCAGCACAGCATCCGAATAGCCAATACTAGGAGAGAAAACCTGGAACTTTCCTACCCTCTCCTCAATCCCTTGCACATTAATTTACCGCTCTGCTAAAAAAACCGCTCCTGAATATATATAGAGAGAGAGGTGCGTAAAGAACTTCGAATCCAGATAATCGCCGTTTAAAAGCAAAACGCCACTGCCCGGTACCCTCCACCCTGAAACCCGCGGGATGAGTTTCTGATGCGCAGCGCAGAGATTTAATCCATTTTTCGTTCTTGGAGGTCAACTAAGGTTTGGGTTTATACGTGCGTGTAAGGATAAATTATATATATAGATATAAGCGAGAAACAGATGAAAAGAAATACAGAATGTAAAGGCAGATGGGACGACAGGCGCTTTTTTTTTATGACAGGCAATTCTTTTTACAACCCGAGAAAAAGATCAAAGGCGTTTCATTTCCGAAAAAGGGATATAAAGCAATAAAATATTCATCCTGTCTAGGTAATGAACCTTCATTCGGAACTAATGAGGGTAGCATCATGTTGAGATTTCGTTTAAAATTACAGTTGCCCAAGAGATTAAAAGTACATCCCCCACCCCTTTTTTCCCCCCAATTCTTTTTTTATTTGTATTTCAAAAGGCAGAACCTTTTTGGTCAAGTATCTCCCGAATTAATTGCATTTAAATGCCACAGTAAAGAGGTTCTGAGAGAAAAGCTGCGTTTCCCCTCCATTAAAATTCCTGCAAAACATCCTCAATATATTTCACAAATTCCTCTCCATTAAAATTCCTGCAAAACATCCTCAATATATTTCACAAATTCCTTCATTTTTCCCAATAAAAAGAGCCGTGGCCAAGCACGAATGTCCCGGGGCTTTCCCGGACACACGATGCCCGGAGATTTTTCGGGTACTTTAAGGCGAATAGTCGTTTTTCCTGATAAAACGTATAATTCGCACAGAAACCGAAAAAGGACGGCGTATTTTAAGCAATAAGCCCAAATGCACCTGGGACAACCCCCAGACCATTTTACACGCCTGAACAAGCCCCCAGATTCCCAACCAAAGTCGCAGAGTGAAGCAAAGCCGCTTTTTGCATGGAGCAGATTTCACCCCCTCCACAGACCTACACTGGGCAGCAGCAGCCACATTAGAATTCACCTTCCCCTTTAAAGCCCGCCATCAAAGTAAGGAGACAAATAAAATCCGCTGTACAACGTGTAGCTGGATGCCATGAAATAATTCCACAGAACCAATCCCATCAGTTTCTTTTTTTTTTTTTTTAATTATTATTAACTGAAATGTTATTCCTCCTTTCCAATCCTCTCTCTGATTTATTTTATCGGATTTCCTCGCTGCCGGCTCCTAACCGAGGACAGGAGTTTCAATAGCCATAACTAAGGCCTATTCCTGATTTTTACCCCCCTCCCACATTCTTAGGGGAAAAAAATAGGAAAGAGAAAGGTTTAATGCTCCTTCCCGGTGGCACGCAGGGGTCGGTGCCAGCAAACCAGCACCCCTAGCGTTTACCAGCCACCTTCCCCCCAGACACCTCCAAGAACTCTCCCCCTCGCTGCCTCCGATCCCAAATTAAAGGCAGCCCCTCGCTGCCCCCCTCCCAGCCCTCTTCCTCACAGCTTTCTCTATTAAACCGCCCCACTTCGCGCGTTTCCCACGGCAAATTCCACCCGGGCTCTTTCCCACCTCAAAGTAACCTCAGGCAGGAAGGAAAGGGGTGTCCCCCGGATCCCCCGACCTGTGTCCACCGCCAAGGGGTGGCCAGGGGAGCCCTCAACCCTCTCCAAAACCCTCCCAAAGGCACCTGCCAGCGCAGAGAGGGGGATCGTTACCCCATTCTTCACGCTGAGCGCATATGTGGTCCCCCCAAAAGAGGCAGCGCTCGGTGGGGGGGTACCCCCTGCTTAGTGCCCCCCCCATCCGCAGCCCGGCCCACCTCCCAGGTGTAACACAGACAGCGGTACCTACCTTAGCAAAACGTGGGTCTTTTCCTCGGAGTAATCCCCGAGGGGGCTCCCCCAAAACTTGGGAAGCTTTTGCAGGCGGAATCCTATAGAACCCCCTAAACGCCCCCATCCCCCCCACCCCGTTTCCCCTCCCCACCCTAGCCCGGCTTTTCCGCCCTCTCTCCCCAGTGTTGCTTTTACAATGAGATTAATTCTCGATAAGAACCCTAATTTCTCTCTCTCTCCTTCTTCTTCTGCCTTTTTTTAGTGGGTGCCCCCTCCCCCGCTCTCCCCCCAGTATAAACCACTATTGTCCTTCAAGGCGAGCGGAGCTGCTCCCGGCAGCGCCGGGAGGCCCTCTGAGCATTTTGGGGTGGGAAACCCGCAAGTTTTGGTATTAATCTCATAGTTTGTCAGTCTTTGTTAAACAGCGAGGCGTGTCCGCAGCGCGGCGGCCGCCGAAAGCCGCGCTGACCCGCGGTTCACCCCGCGCCGCGCGCCCTCCGCACCGCTCCGCGCTTTCATTTGTAGGGCTTTTATGATCCCCCCCCCCTTTTCCCTGTCATATCCCCCCCCCCCCCCCCCCGAAATCTCGCTCTCGGCTTTAGCAGCAATGAAGAAGGGGATCTTTTCTTTTAGTTTTGCCCTTTTCCACCCTTTTCCAAGCGCAAACTTTCTTGTATGAAACTGGGTTTGCGCGTGTGTGTGTGTGTGTGTATCCCCAGCACACGGAAGGCTAAGGCGCTTCTTTAAGGCAAAACATTTAATAACGACTATCCGAGATGTACAACAGCAGGGAAGGAGGCTGCGGGGTCGGGTAGGAATCGGCCCACACCTGCTTTGCCACAGGGAAAAGCAGATTTAAGCCCTGGGTAGTTTCCCAGCCTTGGGTGTCCTTTTCGTTTCGGATAAGAATATTTTAAAATCATATTTTTCCCCTTAAAACCAGCGAAGCAGCGAGGGGGGAGCAGCGCATCCCTGCGGGGATTCACCCTTTATCTCCCTGTTAACACCGCCAGCTCGAAGACCGCGATAAAGAGGTCATTGGAGAGTAAATCGGGATTAAAAAGCGCATTCTATTGATTGTCCGGGAGAGAAAATAATAATAACAACTATAAATACATATGGAGAGAAGGAAAAGCGCCCTGAATTGTGTTTGCAGCGCCCGGCTTGCACTCGGAGACTGCCGGGTTAAGCCGAGTCCGTCCCGAGCAAGAGAGATAAATTAGAAATATCCTTGGAAATGGTACCTTTAATTTCCCCCCTCTCCCCTCCCCTATCTCCGTCCCTCCTCACATCTCTCCAAATGAACCCACTTCAAACGAACGCGCGTCCCTAAATGGAAAGTTAAACGTTCTGATGTAGGAGTGAATATTAGAAGGAAAGTTGGGAGGTGGTTTGGGTTGGTTTTTTTTTTTCTTTATTGCCGTGAAATTATACCTGCTTGTTTTAATATCCCGAAAACAAATGGCTTTTATTATCCATTACCTGTTCTATAAACCTGGAGTAGAAATGACTGTTCTAGAGAGATAAGTGCAGTAATTACAAGGGCGAAGAGATGGATCACCCAAGTTACAACTAAACCGGAGCCCTCATATAGTGATATTTTATAAATACCAAGCAAATTCATGGCAATTAATTAAAGCCGAGTCTTATCACGCGAAACAAAACGCTTTACGTTCGCTTGAATTTCACCTACTCCATGAATATATCCGCATAGGGAAAGCAAATGGATTTTCCAGAATGCCTTTCCCAGGGCTCTAATATTCTCTCTTTCTCTTCCAAGAAAAATGACCCTTGTTATAAGTATTTAGGCACTGAAAATATTTAAAAGCCGAGAGGGGAAAAAAAAAGCGAATTTGCAGGGCAAAAAGGGAAGAGTTTGCCTTGCTACGACTGTTTGCTTAAGCAGCTATTGAAAAGATCTTCCCCAGTCCCAGTGCAAATAATATTTAGAGTTTGGAGGGTTCAAAGTCTGGCAGTGTAGAAATAACTTTGAAATGCCAAGGGAAATATTTATTATATCAGTTCATTAAACTGTTGCAATGACCAGAGTGGAGTCACATTTCAAGCAAGGAATAGAAACCATTTCATTCAAATTCCGGCGGAAAACGTGCTGCAAAACAAAATTAGCTGCCTTCACCGGAGCGAGCGACGAAAGGAGCACTTAAAACCGCCTTTAAATACATATATTGGGGTTTTTTAAGCCATCAATCCATCGCTTTTGCCTCTATATCATAATTTCAGATTCTCTACGATTAAGGTAGAAATGCAAACAGTAAATCATGGGCGTTATTTCGTGTCATTCTTTTCTCTTTGTGGATGATTATTTGCATTCCTACCGAGTCCGTATTAAAGATGCTCGGCTCTATGAGGGCCAGGCACCTCTTCAAGGATTCTGGAAGTGGTTCCAAGTAAAGATTTTGGAACCACATTTTCACCAAACGTGTCGGGCTGTTGAATTTCCTTCTTTTTTTTTTTTTTCTTTTTTTCTTTTTTCTTTTTTCCCCCCAAATAAAATTGACGCTGGAATGAAAATTATTTTTTAACTGCTCGCTTCCATATCCTAAAGGGACCTCCTCGTAATTGGGTTGAATAAATGCATTTCCCCTTATATTTTGTTCATTCGACTCCAAAAAGCTTTTCAGGGCTCATCTTAGGGAAAAAAAAAGCCACTGAGGACTCGCTCGGCGTTTCCTCGCAGGAGACCCAAACCCCACTTCCTTTCCACCAACATCCCACCCCAAAACCCCGCAGCCTCCTATCCCCCCTTTCCGCCTTCGCTGCTGAAGGTCGCTCCCACCTCGCTATCATCCTCTCTCATCTCTGCCCAGCAGCAGAGACTCTTCCTCCCACCTCGGCCCCCCCTTCCCTCTTTCTTTCTCTCTCCCTCTTTTTTTTCCCACTGACATCAGTCTATCAGGGTTATACACAAGACCGAGTCACGCACAGCGTAAACTTTTGACCCTCAACTTTTTGACCCCTCGAGCTATAATGCTGTACTAACAAGCCCCCCAAGACCAGAGTTCCCGGCTACGCCTCTAGAAACCAGCGCGCTGCTGATTTTCCTATTTTATTTATTTTACTTACAAAAGAAAAGGGGGAAAAAAAAAGGACATTTCTTTGTGATTTTTTTTTCCCCTACCCAAGGAAGAACAAAAAAAAATCTGAGCTCTGCAAACATTAGATGGTTCTGTCCACATCACCCATTGCCGCTTTAGACCACTGTTTTTATTTTACCCTTTTTGCTCCCCCCACATTTTTACATTTAAAAGAACAAAGAGGGGGAAACCCTCAAGAAATAATATAATATATTGTTTCTCTTTTATTTAGGATTTCCTCGGCGAGGTTTTGACGGCGGTTATCTGCCCTGATCTAATTTTGGGGGTGATTTTTCCTCCTTTTTCGGCGGATAAAGAGGGTTTCCGTGTTACTTAGGGAGCCCCGGAGGGTTCGGGCAGGGACTGGAGGGCTGCGGGCGGCCGGTCCCGCTCTCGCCCCAGCCCGGCCCGGCCCGGCCCGGCCCCGCTGGCAGTGAACTTGGTCTGAAGCGGGCTCTGCTGGCTGCTCGGGGACGTTACAGCCGAGGCAGCCGCAGCAAATCCCCCTACCCGGGGCGCCCGGTCCCCTGCTCCATCCCACCACGACCACCCCCCTCTCCACCGCGGCGTTGCAGTCTCCCTACATAAACAGCCCAGATTTGCACCAAACAAACGTCCTTTCCCCCAAATCCCGGCGCTGTAATTTGTTTTGACGTGAAAGGTATATATATGTGTGTGTGTATATAGAGAGACATACATACACATGTTAAAAAGAGATAAATCAAAGCGGGGGAAAAACCTCGTACTAGTCTTATTCTTTCAACGCTCGCTGTCAAAATAGTTTCTTTTTAAAGCTATTTAGGGTAACAGAACACGGAAAAACTATGCCGGGTGGACACCTCCCGAGTTAAGTTATCAACCTCCTTCCAAATATCATTTATTTAACATTAGGAGAGGAAAGAATGGGAAAAATCAGCTCAGACACCGAAATAGCCACGCTCTGAAAGAAAATTTCATTCTTAAATCCATTCTAGGACTGGAAAGAAACCCCGGAGGAGGAGCCAAAGCCCATAAAAGTCTTTTTCGGGTTCCCTAGTTGAGGAGAGACCTTTAGTAAGAGGATTTTAAATAATCCCATCAGCTCGCTCCCTTCAGGTCGGACGTGTAATAAAGAAAAAGAGGAAGGGGCTGGGGGAAAGAAAGAGCAAATCCTCAGCCTGAAATTCAGCTGTGGGGGAGGGAAAAGGGTTCGGGGAGCGGAGCTGGACGGAAGGGGGGTGGTTTCCTTCGAAAGGTTGGGGGGGACTGGACACACAGAAGGAGTGTGGGCTGGAGTCATTTACAGGACCATGGCAAAGAAATAGGTGAATAAGCTGAGTCTTCCTCTAAATAGACTGAACCACAAGAATTACAGCCTGAGCAGTGCGATTTCTAGTCGCTGCCTCTCTGCCAAGGCAGGAGGGACCCGCCGCCTCCCAGCCTTCATTTCTGGGGCCAGCAACAAACAGAACAAGGAGATCCCTTTGGCTTAAACATCACATTGCTGGTGTGTGTCTGTAGTGGAGCAATATGAACCACATCCAGCCCTTCTCCAGCCCTCCCCCTCGGTTACGGCCAGTGCCCAGCACACCCGCGCCGTGGGATGGGTACATTAAATGGAAAAAAAAAAAAAAGGAAAAAAAAAAGGAAAAAGAAAAAAAAAAAGAAGGGTTAGAAAATGTAGAAAATGGGGGGGGGGGGGGGGAAGGAGGAAGAAGAAAAATAAAGAAAGAAGGAAAGAAATAAAGAAAAACCCCTGGAGCTTATGTTTTCCTTGCAAAGGTGCCCCGGCAGCCCCCGGGGCCCGCTCTGTGTTGTGATACGATGCTCACCCTCTCCTCCAAGAGAGGAGCCGGGGCTGTACAAGTCTGCTGACCTCGGAATGATCCCTCTTGCCTATGAATTATTGATGAGATATGAGCTCTGATTTCTCTTTTCAGTATGCAAACCCCATTATACTGTTAAAATGGCGATTTAATCGTTTAGAATAGCTTCGCTTTTTTTTTTTCCAACTCATTTGTGCCCCTTCCTTTTCATTTAATTCTCTTAATTAAATCCTTTAACAGATTTTAATCACTTTTTGTTGAATAAAATAAGGCATCATACACATCTGTAACTAGGTTACCTTGGCGAAGTTTGTTTTTGGTGGGGTTTCTTTGTTTTGGGGTTCTTTTTAGTTTGCTCTGCTTGCTCCTTTGGGTGAGGTTTTGAAAACCTAAGTGGGAGGGAATTTTCTTTTCTGTTACCCTGAACCCGGTGAGCAAAGAAAGTCTAAAACACACGAAAGCTTGACGAAAAAGAGCCCCAAAAAATAAATACATCAATAAAACCGTGACATTCACAGTGGCCTGACAACGGCGTTGCAACCTCGGGCTGCCTTTTGCATTAAAACGCTCCCCAAACTACTCACAAATGCATTTCCCCACCCCCCTATTTATTGCTGAACGATCCTAAGAACCAAAATGGGTATTTTACGGGTGAAATTTCATCTATTTTTCGCCCTTCAGCAGCAGTCTGAGCACGGGGGTCCCTGGCCCTCCCTGGAAGACACTCCAAAAGGCAGCTTGAAGGGAGCTGGAATTAATACAGATGCTCAGCTTGGCTCCTCCAGGCTGTGGAGCCTGGCCTGGCTCTTGGGTGAGAAATAACTGCTGTGGGGTTTGGTTTTTTTTTCCCCTTCAAAGCAGCAGTGAGGTTTCTATAACGTTTACTAAACGAAATAGGAAACCTTCAGAGAAGGGGGAAAGCTAAAGAGAGAGGACAGGGAGCAAAAATAGGTGTAAGGTCATATGGATGCATTCATTTTTGGATGTGAGGGGTGCTGTGAAACAGGTAAGATCCTGGGGAGGCTTCTCTGAGCTCTGGAACCCTTCATTCAACTGGGGCAAACAGCCCGCATCTACCTCACCAGACCCGGTTTTGGGGAGTCACACAGAGGCTTCCCCCCATGTGTACTCAGAGTCGTGACAGAAAGATCTGCAAACCCAAGGGTTAATAAAAGGAGATTTTCCTTGTAAGCAGTAATCATGTGCTAGAGATTCTCAATATTCTTAGAGCCGTTATTAAAGCACTTTGTATTTATTCTGTCTTCTACAGCTACAGAAGAACTAATTGTCCCATGTCTGATGTATGCCATTAAAGTGAGAGAAACGATGAAAAATGCAAAGGAAAATCCCCGCCTACCTGCACGGTCAGAGCTCCGTTTTCCTGTTTACTCTCTTAATACTTCCTTTTCACCAGCAACAGGGAGACTTTTTTTTCCCTTTCTTTAAAGAATGGGGAGGGAGGGAGGGGGGAAGCCTGTGCTAAGCTTGTGACCCCTTCCAGGCTGTAAAATGGTAGACAATGATCCCTGTTTATGCCTCACAGGAAGATGGAGGTTAATGCCATGTAAGAGAAACAAAATCCCCAAATAAACCCTCCAAAATCCAGCTTATAAAAAAAAAACCAAACAAACCCTATCTTAAAAACATGCTACATGCTGCAGGTAGAAAGCAGATCTCAGACAGGGAGGACAGGGTGTATTGAAAGTGATGGGAAGGGTGATATTATCATGACAGCAACAAAATCCAGTCCCTCTTCCTTTGTGGTGGCACAGGCCGGGTGCCAACCCCTGCACCGGGGATGCTCAAATCAAAGGGGTGGCACAGGGTTGATCGCTGTTGTCACCCTCACAGGCATCTCTTCCTCACCACAAAGTCCTGGGGCTAAACTGCATTGCAAATTCCCCTTGGGCTGGCTGTCCTGGTGTGCTTGTTTTTTCCCCTTGGAATAACATGTTGTACACCAAAGGATTAGGAACTGTGGTATGTAAGAAGAAAACCACTTGTGCTGCCTGTGATCAGAGTGGTTTGGGGAGGAAACTTTGCCTGGGACTGTATAAAACCCTTGGAGTGGGATGTGGGGATCAGCGATGCAGGTGATAGATGGGGAAGAGGTGGATGAATGGATAGATGTATGGCTACATGGATGGATGAATATATTTCGGAATCAGAGTGTTTATGGGTACCTGCATGCATTGAACTTACAGTTACATTTCAAACATACATTGAGGTGAAGAGGTAACACTTTTCTTGCCTAAAACACTACTTATCATTTGAATCAGGAGATGATTTCTAGTCACCAGTAGGGACCAGGAGGGTAAGGAATAGAAGGCCATCGCTTGGGCTAACCCCAGCAGGATCACATGCCTCTCCCCACATCCCTTCTCCTTCCGGCGCTTCTAACCCTGGGTAGACAAACCATCTGCAGCTTGAGGGGCTAAATTCACCTTTCAAGGTCATGCCATAGGAGCCCTTTAGGATCCCATGAAATATCTTTACTATTAACTCAAAAAGCAGGCGTCCAGCTTGCACAGGGATTAGGGAGAGGCTGCTCAGCATAAAACCAGACTGCTGAATAGGAAAAGCTCCCTGCACCCCGCTTCCCTTCCTTGAATTTCCAGCTTTTTGAATCTGTTTACAGGTTCTCAGAGCAGAGGGCTCCAGGATTGCACTGGCCACCCCCTGACTGCTCAGGGAGAAGCCAGAAGTTCAAATGATGATAGCAAAGATATTAGGAGACACATGGAGCAGGACAGGAAAAACAGCCCAAGGAAGGAAAAGCAATCTCCAAAGTGTGCTAAAGGGGGACATTCTGCTTTGTGTAAAAGAGACGGACATGTGTCCACCAAATGTTGTCTTACCCTAAAAAGGAGGGGGGGAAAAGCTTGTGAGTGCTCCAAATTCTAACCACCACCACCCCCCTTCCCCTCTCCAGCACCTCCGCTTTGAACTTTTTTGTTTAAAATTTGATTTTATTTTTGAAAGAGGGATGGGGGCGGGGGGGGGGGGGGGGGAAGGAATTGGTGTGAGTTGGTTCAGGTGTGGACAAAGTGTCCCCTACCTCTCCTGCAAATGTGGCGACTAGGCTTGCAAAATAAGCAACCTCTCCGGGGTTGGCTTATGGGGTTCTCCCCCCTCTCTATTTGGCTCTGTCAGCCCTATTTCGCTCGCTTTTGCTTTACTGCGCTGCCGCGGAGTCGGAGCCCACGGCTGGGGCCACCTGCCCGGCCAGCCCCAGCGCAGCCCCTCGCCCCTCACCCGCGCAGGCTCCGCGCTCCTGCCCTTCCCTCCAACTTGTTTATTTTCCCAGAGCAAAAGGCTGCTGCCTGCCTTTCCCAGAGCGATGTCGGCCCTGAGAGGGAGAGAAGGAAATCTGGGATTTATCGGTGAGCTCAGAAGGGTTTGGACGCTCTGTCTGCAAACTGCAGCCTCTCTGATTATTTTTCTGTAGCACTTCAGGACAGGCTGGAGACATAACAGCGGTCAGTCAGTGGCTCCATGTGAGAGAAACGAACTACGGGAATATGAGGACACTCATTTGTATTATTAGGGGGGGCAAAAACCCAAGAAAACCCAAGAGGGGGGAGGGAGGAAGGAAAAAAGGGGAGAAAAAAGGGGGGAAAAAAAGGGAGGAGAAAGGAAGGGAAAGCCCTGGGGCAAAAAATACCGGTCTCTACACAGGCCGAAAGGAAACAAAAAAGTGCATTTCTATGGCAGGAAGGTGAAAATAATGAAAATCAAGAGGTGTTAACACCCTGAAACGCACAGACAGAATATCGCTGATTGAAATGCAAAGTCATGGTTCAGGTTTGTGGCTATTTGCGAGCAGTTCGAAAAGCACCGAAATCGCCTCCAATAAACGCGCAAGAATGGCGAAGGATAAACCCAAACTTTGGCTGAAGTACACATGTCCCCCGGCAAAGACAGGATGGAGTTGCCGTGCAATGATAATGAATCTCTACAGCTTTTCTATTTCTCCCGCTGCCACAAAGTTTACTTGCGGGCCTCGAAGCTGTGATGGAAATGTAATGCAGTTCCAGCTCTCGGGAGGATAAGAATTAAGACCTTCTTAAAAGTGAGAAATAAAGCTCTGAAAGAGAGACAGACCCTCTTTCCTCCCCGCTCAGCCTTTAGTCATACCAACCCTTTAAAACAGTTTAAGCAGATAATATTTCAGAACTTACTTTCAGGACTCCAGTCTATTGGCTCCCTGGACTGAAAACTGGACCCGCAAAACATGTTCCCTGCAATTGCAACGTTTATCTCATCTGGAAAAGTGCTCACCCATTGCTGCCCCTTACAAGCCAAACCAAGCAGTTAAAGTGTCACTTAACATTCTAGAGAATGTGAAATATATTGTACATTGTCAACTCCCCAAAACCATAAAACTAACTTTATGGACCTCACGTGACTTTTGAGAGCCAGTGAGGGGTATCTGTCTGAGGTCTGGGCGATTTTTACGATCTAACTTCTAGATAAAACCCTATCCATTTGACATCTAAATGTCATACCCACTTTTGGTATAGTTTGCTATTAGTGAAAAAAAAAAAGAAAAAAGAAAGAAAAAAAATCAAGGGAAGGCGAGCAAATGGTTTGGGACCTGACAGTCCACTTCACATCCCTCTCAAAATCACTTAAGAAGTACCTAAACAGTGGGAGATTAAGTTTGGTAAGTTTTAAGCTCCAACTTTACTTGCTACGAACAAAAAGCCTAAGCTGTATTGTAGAGATGCCAGTGGCGTTTTGCCAAATCGAGCGACTTTAAACCGGAGTATCTCGTGCCTTGGGAGATTCCCTAGGTAGCGAAATGGCAACATTTGCCATCTTTGATGATGTTAAATAATCTGCAGCCAAAATGACTCGTTGTAGTGAATGTCAGTAGTTGCAGAGATGTTATTTACATGTTAAGCCGGAGACTAGGAGTTAAAAGCAGTTAAGCACAACAAACCGAGGACGAGAGATAGCAGAGTTGGGCGTAGCTCAGCGCAGAAATGTATGCTGTATATATCCATGTTTATTTATATCTATTTCAAATATATCTATCCAAACACACCGATCTGTGATTCTATAGAGCGCAGGTTTATGTGTACGCGTATGCGGGCATAAATACCTCTGGCTTTTCAAATGTGCGCGTGTGTATGTAGATCTAACTCCTGAAATGCACGTAAATCTGCGTTTATACCGCGGGATTGCAACTTGAAGTACTGGAAACCAGTTTGGCTGCTGCCGTGGGGTGGGGGGTCGGCGGTGTTTTGGGGAGACGGCGTTGGGGAGGTGTGAAGGGCTGCGGTGTGTGTCCGGCGGGTGCCTGGAGGGCGCTTGGTTTGAATATTTGGTGGGTTTGAGCTCCCCAGAGCTGCCCAGGAGAGGCTGGGGCTCTGCTGAGAGTTCCTCGCAGCGGCTCAGCCCCACGCCAGGCATCTCCGCGGCTCCAGCATGGGCTGCGAATCTCAGGGCTTGTGCATAAAGTGCAACTGGGAGCCTTTGTGAGTAGGAGAAACGTTTATTTGACTTCAAGTAAAGCTACAAACAAATACAAAAAGCTTATTGGCAAAGTACTAACAGGCAGCTAGACATGACAGATGCCATTTTTACACATAACATTGCATTCACTCTGCCCACTACAAACCGTCTATTAGTCACATCAGAAATATTTCTAGTATTTACAGACATTAGAGCACTCTATTGTTGGTCCGATTTTATACATAATTTTTTTCTTTTATAATAGTGAAGTTTACCCACGTCTAAGAGTACGTCTTGGAATTAGGCTGGGACTCGAAACCCTGGCCTGAAGTTTGAACTAAAACACAGACTGGACAATTTTAAGACAGATACAAGAGCTTTTGCCTTTTTTTTTTTTTCTCTTTTTTGCCTTTTTTTTTTTTTACATTTTTGTTTGGATTTTTTAGCTTATTTTTTTTTTCTGCCACTGTAGTGCAGGAACCCCCTTTTCTAGCTTAGGCAGAGAAGAACTCACCCAAAAGCAGTAAACTCAGGAAAGGGGGGGGGGGGTATAAAGAAAAGAAACCGAACAAATAAACAACCGTATCTGTTCTCGATTTATAAATAAGTTATAACATTTAAAGGGCTCACATAAAACATGCTAGCTTTCCAGAAAGCATCAAGAGAGCACGGACACAGACATTTAGAAGAACAAGAGCATGAGGAGCATCTGGAAATAAAATTTAATTATATATATAAAAAAAAAGGAAAAGATTTAAACCCCCAAATTTAATAACAAACAGAACACGACATGGACTCAGTCTGGGAGAACGGTACCATACGCGTTGGTTTAGAATATCAACAACATGCCGAAAGGAAGGTGCCTCACTGTACAGTACTCGGAAACTAAGATCTGCGCTTTATTTATTTATTTACGGATTTCTTTCTCGCCTCCTCTTCTTCCCTCGATATTCCTCCTCTAGACTTTATGGCTGAAAGGCGCTGCCCGCCGAGGCTAAGCTCATGCTTTTCAGTTTATTATCCTTCTTCCATTTCATCCTCCTGTTCTGGAACCAGATTTTGATCTGGCGCTCGGAGAGGCAGAGAGCGTGAGCGATCTCTATTCTCCTCCTGCGGGTGAGATATCTATTGAAGTGGAATTCCTTTTCCAACTCCAGGGTCTGGTAGCGAGTGTACGCTGTCCTCGCCCTCTTCCCGTCTGGTCCAGTCATGTCTGAATAACACGGACAACAGCGGGGTTGGGGTTTTGCTTTCTGCTAAGATTTTTGTTATCCTTAAGGCTATATAGATAGATGTATATATTGTAAAACCGAGGTAAAATACTCGCCTTCTTCGGGCAGCTTGGAATGCTGTTTATTCCCCAAATAACACCCCCCCCTCCCCTTTCTCGCACACCCCCAGACACGTGTAAACCCCCCCACCCTCGGCCCCTCCAGAACCGACATTCCCAACTCAGTGTTCATAATTTAACTGGAGAAGCGAGATTTTGCATCTTCCCTTCCCCCCCCCCCCCCCCCGCCCGGGTGTTTCTGGGTCTCTTTGCAGGGGGTTCAGGTTTAAGGCTCTTTTCTCCAGGAGAAAACCGGGCCAAGTGTGTGTGTGTAGTTGGGGGGGGGGGGGGGGGGGATGATGATGTCTCTCTGTTCTTCTGTATCTCCTCGCAATTTTGGTTTTGTCAAGAGCAGATTGTCAAGAATACACCCAGCAAAATAAGAGCAGGAAAGGACTGAGAGACCCATCTGTGCATATAATGCCATTTTAATGGTCAATTCTTTCCTTTCCTCTCCCCCCACCCCCAAGGAACACCCCCTTCCCTCAATTTTTAAATTACCTTCTCCCACCATCCACATAGAGCTACGAGCTGAAAATAAGCGCCCATTTCGCGGAGAGAATAGCGAAAGTAAAACAAAATCGCCCCCCCCCACACTCCTTAGAGGCGCCAGAGGCAGCTTTAAAGCAGCGATCAGAGCAAGAAATACAAAAGCAATAAATAGCTGCGTTTCTGATCAAAGCGCCTCCACGGAATAAAAGGAAGGGGAGAAAAAAGGGAGTGGGGGGGGGGGTGGGGGGAGGAGGAAAAGGGGAAAGGAAATTAAAAAACACACTAAAACACGAGAGAAAAGGAGAGGGGTGTGAGAAAATAAACAACGACAACGACAACGACGGAAAAAGAAGTAGCTGTACCATGGCTAATGTGAAGTTTCCTCATCCAAGGGAATATCTGAGGTGCCTGCCCTTCTGTTGCTGCGGTGGAGGTCGCGATGGGCTCTGCCTGTGCTCGGGGGATGCTGCTGCTTATTGGAGTGCCCTCGTCGGCTCCCGAGGACGCGCTGGTCTCGTCTAGTTCTGTGAAATTTGTGTTGGTGGTGCTGGCAGAAGGAGCTTGGTCGGAGGGGGACGGGGCGGGTTTGCCTCCATGGCTCTCGCTGTTGGAGCAGGGAAGGGAGTCGGGAGAAGATAAGGAGCAGCTAGACGCCTGTCTAAACCTGCTCTCCTGAGCTGGAGAAGGGAAACCGCGGGAGCTCTCCCCCACAGCCCCAAAGTGGCTGGAGGAGGCTGAGCGGTTGATGCTAAGGTCCATCCCATTGTAGTTGTAGCCATAAGAGCTGGAATGCATGGTGCTTGAATCTCTGTAAGAACCGTTCATGGAACTGCTGGTCCCATAATTTAGTAACTGATAGTCGGGGCCATTTGGGTAGCGCCCTGAGAACGAGTTTACAAAGTAAGAGCTCATTTGGGTTATTTTGGAGGGCTTGATTTGTGGCTCGTGGTCGTTATAACCCTGTGCTTGACGATTTATGATGTATTAATGAATTATAGCGATGCACTGTACTTCGTTTTTGCTATGTATGCGGCCAAATATGGGGGGGGGGGGGGAGGGTGGGGGGTGCGTTTGGGAATCACGTGCTTTTGTTGACCAGTCGTAAATTCTCACTGATGACCTCAAGAGGTAATTCATGCTCTATGGTTACAAATAATGACGATCGCGGAGTCGTTTAGGCCCGAGTCGGTGCGCGGCGCCCCGAATCCCCGTGCGCGCCGCTGCCGCTCTCGCCCCCCACCTTGGCGGAGCGCGCCACCTGCCGGCCGAGCGGGGCGCCGCGCCCAGGGGGGGCTGGAGGGGGGGGGACACCCCCGTACCCCCAAATTCACCCTCCGCTACACAGCCCCCTTCCTTCTGCAGTCATTTGCCTTCCTAAAAATCAACGCTGAGATGAAAGCGGGGAGGGGGGGTGGTGTTGTTTCGCCGCGGCTGGCGTGTCCGCGCTCCCCCCCGTGGGTCTTCTCGCCCGGCTCCTTTTCTTTATTAAACTCTTAATTTCTTCCTTTGTGACACCGTTGGGAAGTTCGGAGGCAGGGGGCGAGGTGCCTTGAGCACGGGGGGGTTCTCCTCTGTTAATATCTGCGGGGGGAAAGGGGGTACGGTGAAGCTGCGCTGGGGGTGCTCGGCTGCGTGGGGTTTTTTCGCGTGGTTATGGTCAGAAAAGTCGAGCGTTGCTGCACGCTGAGCGTGGACCAGGGATGCGATCGCACCTTAATTCTGGAGGGGGAAAAAGAAAAGAGGAAAAGGGGGAGAAATAAATGGAGGGAAAGGAGAAAAAGGGAACGTCCTGCCGGTGGAAGTGTTGACAACGTCGCTTTTGGGATATTCTCGTTCCTGAGCGTTTTGCTTCCTCTTTGAACACAGCATTGTGCTACGTGCTTTTTCCTTTCCATTTGTTAACCTGCAAGGAATATTGGGGAGCAAAAGCACCTTGAAACTGGTAAAATTGGGAAAAACGTTGTGAAAAAGCTGTGCTTTGTTAAGCATTGCTTCCTTTTTATTTTCCCCTTCTTCTCTTTTCTCTCTCTCCTTTCTTTCTTTCTCTTTCTTTCTTTCTTTCTTTCTTTCTCTTTCTTTCTTTCTTTCTTTCTTTCTTTCTTTCTTTCTTTCTTTCTTTCTTTCTTTCTTTCTTTCTTTCTTTCTTTCTTTCTTTCTTTCTTTCTTTCTTTCTTTCTTTCTTTCTTTCTTTCTTTCTTTCTTTCTTTCTTTCTTTCTTTCTTTCTTTCTTTTCTTTCTTTCTTTCTTTTTCTTTTTCTTCCCAAGGCAGTTTAGGAATTTCATATGCTTGTCTGCAACTCATTGGAAATTATGCGCCATATTGAAAGTGACATATAATTATAATAATTACGGGCAATGAAAAGCGTGGCAATAATAGTAAATGTCCTACAGCTGTGAAGCTTCTGCATGAATTGATTTTAAAAGTGAGTGACATTAAACCAGCTTGTGGCACGGGGGAATGCATTCATACATAGGTATTCCGTGTGGAGAGTGGGAAAGGGAATGGGAGCCCGGAGGTATCCTCGTTCCTCGCGTTTTCCCCTCGTGAAGCTGCAGAAAACGGTATCCGAAGCAGCCTGGGCTGGTAGCTTGTTTCCAGTCCTAACCCTCAGCAGAACAAGCACTTCCTTTCGTTTAATCCCCCAAACCCAGGAAAAGTTTGCTGTTTGCAGCAGGAGGTTCCTCCTTGGCCAGAGCAGGAGCGGTCCCCAGCCCTCCCACCCCCCCAGCACAGGAGAAGTCACTGGAAACGCTTTCCAGTTCAAATAAAAATCTGCTTTTCTAAAAAAAAGCTCTTCAGACTTAGTTTAGATTCTTTCCCACCTTATTTTCCCCTCTAAATGCAGGCTGTATTCCTGGAGCTGGGAAGCTACTCGTTTCGTAGGGCAAATCCCCTTGAAATCTGGACTTTTTTGCAATACACCTCACTTTGATTTGGGGATATGAAGTAAGGGACCAGATGTTTGAAAGATGCTAGGCAAATGTTAGGTATCTTTGGTAGATAAATGAGAGCATATTTTTGCCTGTTTCCTTGATTTATTATGTATATGGCGAGCGTTTCGTCATAACTCTTTGTACTGTAACAATAAAAAAGAGCGATACTAAAGCAGAATGTCAGCGAGGAAATACTATTGGTGAAAAGGGCTTCCATTTACGATTAGACAAAAAGAGGGAAAACCAGATTTATCTCTCCACTGTAACTTCCGTGTGCTTGGAGTTGCTTGTCCTTGCAGATTAGAAGACATTGTCAGGCAGAGAGCAGCAAGGCTTTCGTTACAGCTCTCTGCTCCTTAAGAATGGCAAGTTCCCTATGGAAAAGGGAAAGATAAGAAGAAGAGCAATAATAATAGTAATAATGACAGGGTGGTGTGCGTGAGCTCGAAGACCTTGTTTTATTAGAGAATTCCATGGTCATACCTAAGACAAACTTCAAACACAACACGTACAAAAATTAATAAAATAGAACTTTTTGCCATTGCTGTTGTTGCTTTTGCATCCTTTTAGGTAGTACTCATTCTTTCAGTAGATTTTCCTTAAAAAAAAATAATATATATATAAAAGAAACAACAACAACAAAAAAACCCAAACAAAAGCAAACCCAAAATCCTATAATAAAACTAATTCCGAAGACCCCAGGGCTTGATTAATTTACCAAAGGAGCAAAAAAATGAAATAAAAACCCAACTATGTCAACCGTGCAGGAAACATTTTTACAAAATTAAGACAATAAACACCCCAAATGACATATATTGCAGCACTTCCATTAAATACAAGAGTTAGCAGGTTACTAACAGTGACACCAAGGGTAGAAACACAGGTAGGAGTCCTTATTTTTTTTGTCTTTTCTCTTTCCTTTTCTTTCCCTCCTCCTCTCGCTCTCTTCACTTTCGTATTATTATTATTATTAGTTGGGGGGGTGGGGTGAGTGGGAGGCTTGGGAAGGAAGAAAAATCATTAAAAACGCATCTAGAAGCCTGATTTTTTTTTCCTTTTTTTTTTTCCCTGTTTTTTCTTGGATTCGCCGGAACACTGGGAACAGGAATCCATGGCATTGGTGGCCCAAACTTTCTAGCTGTGGCCGCTGCTCAGAGTGCTTGTCCCACCAATGTGCAGGTTCTCCCTGTCCTCGCAGCCAGCCCACACCCCCCTCATCCTCACGGCTCTCACACACTCCCTCCCTCCCTCTCTACTTCTTTAACGTGTTCTTGTTGCGTGTGGGGTTTTAAATACTACTTTCACTCCGCCGTTTTCTCCTCCTCCTCCTCCGCGCTCAGTTGCGAGGAGTTGAGCAATTTATTCTCTTTTTTCCACTTCATCCTGCGGTTCTGGAACCAGATTTTGATCTGCCGCTCCGTCAGGCAGAGGGAATGGGCGATCTCGATCCGCCGGCGCCGGGTCAGGTAGCGGTTGAAATGGAATTCCTTCTCCAGCTCCAGTGTTTGGTAGCGGGTGTAGGTCTGGCGGCCTCGGCGGCCGCTGGGCCCGAAGGAAGAACCTGTGACACCCGCAAAAATAAAAAGGAAACAAATAGGAAACAAATAGGGAAAAAATAGGGGGAGGGGAAGGGGGGGGAGGGGAAAATAAAAGAAATTAAAGGAAAAAAAGGGGGGGGGGGGAGTGGGGGAAAGCCCCGCGGTTTAGTGGAGCCGCGGAGACACCGGATAATTCTCTGGATTCTAAACTCCTCACCACGGCGGTATGCGGAGGGGTGTGTGCCCGCTCCCCTGCCCTCCAAAGGCTTTGGCCAACCCCAAAATCACCCCATGGGCCGGTGACCCCATCCGTGCGCGCAAGGGAGCTCCCCTGGCCGGGCCGCACCCGCGGAGGATCCGCAGCCGAGCTGTAGACAGGGATCGTGCTGCACTGGCCCGGCTGCAGGCAGGGCTGGGGAGACAGGGCAAGATCTATCTGATTCCGGGATGAAAAATCGCAAGGTGTTCTCTCCCCCCGCCCGCCCGCGCTGTTTTCCACCCTACCGGCAACTGTAATAGATCGGAGCATTTAAGCAATAATGAAGTGAATCGATCTGCCCAAACTCTGCATTAAAGAGGACACAACACTTTATGTCCCTGCGCTAATGGACGTCAATTTGGAACTTAAAAGGCAACAAATGCATCTAAACATGGGAAGGAGGGTGGTGAGGCTTTATTATCCCCCCCCTTCTTTTTTTTTTTTTTTTTCCTGATTGAGGAAACAGCACTTAAAGAAGTCATATATCACCAGGGGGTGGAAAAAAAATTCTCCCCAGGCAGACTTTTCATTATGTGTGAGTTTCATTAAAAATGTAGCCCTCTCCTTTCAAATATTTAAACACTTTGATATGATTTAAGTCCAGAGCGAGAAAGGGAGCTGCGTGGGGGTGTGGGTCCGTGTGTGTGTGTGTAAAGTCATCCAGATCTGATTTAGAAAAGATATCTCCCTGTGCGTGTGGAGGAAAGACAGAGACAAATCGCTGTAGCTGAGTGACACGCGAAGTGGAATGTGGGGGGAAATCAGAAAGGGGGGGGTGTTGGGGGAAACACAACATTGGGGTTTAAATGGGGGGGCAAACTTTTTAAGTGTGTATGGAGGGAAGTTCTGGGGGGGGATACTTGAGCGGTGGGAAGTTTTGGTGCGTGTCAGGAGCAAGTTGGAGCGTCTCGTGCCGCCTAACTTCCCCGCTGGAAGTTTGGACTCCAAAGTGAAGCTTATTCCTGCTTCCCTCGCGCGCTCTCTCTCTCTCCCTGGCGGTAACAAATAAGAAAGGGGGGGAGGAGATTGATGTATTTATTTCTGTAAAAGAGTAAACTCACTATTGCAAGAGTTCATCCGCTGCATCCAAGGGTAAACCGGGGCGGAACATTTTGGCTCCTCGCTCTCTCCGAAGGCGGCTTTGCCGTGCGCGCAGTCCGCCGTGCGCGGCTCGGGGCCGAGGGGCGCCTCGTCCAGCGCCGGGGGGGCACAGGCGGGGTCCTTCTCCCTGAAGAACCCTCCAGCCCCGTAGTCACAGGCGGAGCCGCGGCTGTAGGCTCCGTTGCTCTGCTGGTAGTAAGGGGAGGAGGTGTAGCCCTTCTCCTGAACGCCCGCGGCTCCATAGGTGGTGGGGTAGTGCCTCAGAGGGTCCGCGTAGCCCGAGGGATACAGCGGGATCTGTCCCAGGAAGGGCTCCTGCCCCGCCGCCAGACTCACCGGGAAGGTCGAGTTGACAAAATAAGAACTCATTGGAAGAAGGCTGCCGTCCTTTCCCGGCTTTATGATTTGTTGTGTTTTATAGTCCAAGTGGTTTAGCTATTAGTAGTATATCGGAGATTGGGTTTTAGCTGAAGGGAGATGGCGTGGTGCCAGCGAGGGACACAAGGAAATACAACCATCTGATCAGGGGCTGACCAATAGCAGGCGCCTGAGGTTGCAAAATAGCACCCATGAGGAGCTGAGATTGCACCAGGGACCCCAAGAACAAACCATCCACCCCTTTTTCCCTGCCTTTTAAACAACAGAAAAGCACCCCCTTAACCAAATATATAATATCTGCCGAAAGAAACATTCCCGGCGAGCTCCGAGCTCCATAAATAAATAAACGTGTCCGTCCCCCCCCCCATCTCCCCCCCGCTCCCCCGGAGCTCTGCGCGGGGGTGTGCGAGAGCTCGTCGCACGGATGGCGGTCTGTGCGCCTACATGTATTTACACACACAGAACAGACACAAATACTCGCTGCAAGTGGGGGGGGGGAAGTCAGTTATTCGCATTCGGAACACTTTAACCCCTAAGTGTTTGCAAATCGTCCTGACATGGCTGCTTACTTCGCTACAGTTACAGAAAAGAAGGAAGAAGGAAAAAAAAAGGGGAGGAAAAAAAGTTTTTTTGTGCGTGTGTATGAACTTTGCGAGGAGATCTCACCGGGCTGTTTAACTTAGATTTGCTATAGGAGAAGAAATCGGGTTTGACAACTTATTTCGGTTCCTGTATGTCTAATTACCAGGGATTAGCACTCCCCGTCCAAGGAAATCCGCTCTCGCTTGAAGCAGACCTTCCCTTTTTCATATATTGTATTTTTTACCTTTGTTTTTCTGCAAAAGCTCCGTACGCGAGAGATAAATGGAAAATCGAAGTATTTCCTTTATCCCTCGTTAAATCCCTATCCCCTCCGGAGTCCGGCACCGCATTGTGCCCTCTTGCGTTTTTTTGTTAATACCAAATCTATGCCCGACCTTTTATGGCTAAGAGGCAGCCCTGGGTTACGGTCCAAAGCTGAGTTTATTGATCGTTCCCGATCGAGATGGGGGGTTTAAGGAGAGCAAAGCTGGCGGTGCGGTGGGGCTGCTGCCTCGGAGGTGCGCACAGAACCCGCGGGTTTGCAGCCCCCTTTGAGCTCATTCCCGTCGCAAAAAAGCAGCCTTTTCTATTTCGCAAAGTTAAAAAGCTGGAAAGGACAATTCACAAAATCTCAAGCAATTCCCGGTCGCCCTAAAAGCTGCCCTTTGCTCTGGGCTGTGCCTCTCTCGGTTTTCCTCGACAGAGATGTGCTTTGCTCTACCTGGTGCATCCCCCCTTCAGATCCCTGTTTGCTCAAGGTAGACTTGGATCTCTGATCTCCGCCTTCCCTCTGTTCACACGGGAAAATCAGAGCCATCTCACAGGAAAAGATAAAAAATAATCAAAAATATCACCAAACGCCACCTAAATTAAAGCCAGGACTGTACCCCGATCATTCGCCTTTTATCAAGGATTCGTTTCCTGTCCGAATTTGTAGCCATCTGTCTTTGAGTCTTACATGCCGTGAAATGACCCGCCTTATAATACGCACTCCCCTGTACTTGAATGTGTGAATGTGTGCGCTCCAAATCTAGAATTACATATATTACATGGTGTCTGCAGAGCTGCCAATGCGGCTCTCACTGACGGAGCTCCAAGTATCTACCGAAGTGGTATCTTATTACGAGCTGATTTATTTTAAACATCATGTTTACAGCAGCAAAGCCAAGATTGTTTCATGCCACGGCTGCAATGAACATTTCGACTGAAACGTAATCCTTATAATTCAAGGAAATAACATGCAAAGGAAACAGTTTTCCATCCTCCACCCCCTTTGACTGATATCTCTTATATTTGTTCTTTCAGAGTTTCCCTTTGTGTATGGAATGGACCCAAACTTACGTAGATCTGCTTTATTGGTATGCAAGACAAACAAAAAGTGAGATTGAAAGGGAACGATGACTAGAGAAGAGGGGGAAAAGGCTGGGATGAGAGCCCGAAGTTAACTGCTGTGCAGGAGCCGAGCAGCTCCAACATTTGATTAGAGAGTTACGCAACATTTGTAGCTCTGAAACCTAGTGATGATCTGGCATCATCAGCTCTGCATGCAAATTTGGGGCTAAGCAATGGGATGCGCTGATAATCCAGTGCGTGAGTACATCTGTTGGAAATGTTTGCTCTCATATTTTCTCTTACTTCTCGGCATCGCTCTGCAAATACATCCCTGGAAACAGGGGGTTGGGGAAGAAAAACCAAACCCTCTCACACCCCCAGGTCCCAATCCTGCTCATCCGAGTGGCCTTGTGGCTGAAACGGGCTTTTTATGTAGTTTGTCAGTCGACATTTTAAAATGCACTAATTAAAGCTGGCCGCTTGCTAATTCCTTCTTGCTGACACCTTCGATGCGCTATAGATAGAAAAGAACAAGTCCTGCCTCTGAGAAGGATGGCTCTAAAGAGGGCTATTTGGGGAAGGAAAAGGAAAGAAGAAAACTTGGTTCTCAACGTCAAAAACAAAACAAAACAAACCCACCAACAAACCAACCAAATCGCCCAAAACAAAACAGAAATCAAACCCAAAACCTGTCATAGTTTGAATGTTCCTGAGGGTCAGGCCCGCGGTCTAATTGATTTGCCACCTCTAATACATATTAAATACGAGTAGAGGTCTTAAACCGCACTAAATCTCAGCGAATTGAGTGCTCAGCGCAGAGGTGGATTCCTATTCCCAATTCAATAGCTTCTAAAAAATGGAGTTTGAAGCTCTAAAACGTTGCGTTGTTGGTGTAGCTGTTGAGCAGACGCTCTCCCGCCGTCCCCGCTCAAGTCCGAAGGTAAATCCCAACCCGAATTTGCAAATCTATTTTCTTTGGACGCCTCCAGAGCCAGCACGAGGTGGGGGGGCGGTTGGGGTAGGCAGACACGGAGCAGCAGCGGCTGCAGAAAGGAGCTTGCACAGCAGCCCTGAAGTTAGACCCGTCTTGGGGGGGCACCGGTGGGCACGGTTTTGTTCAGTCTCTGGCCTCATCGCCTCAAAAACCAGCACAGGGTTTTTGCTAAGAAGGAGCAATAAAGCGGGGAAGTTGTGAGAGGCACCAGAAGGTGGTATAACACACTTAACTGCGCTGGGAAGCCGGCTTTCCCCTCCTGACAGACATCACTCATCTGGCAGGGCATAAATAAAGATAAAGAGAAGTATTTACAGTATGTACAACCCCAGCTCTCTGCCCAAGAAGGTCTCGCTTTTTGTCGCTTTGCTTTTCTGGCCAGAGAGAACGCCAATCCCACCAGGCAGAGCCAGGCAGATAGATGAGAGGATTAAAACAACACCCAAATATTTCAACATGCAAACAGAACAGAGCTTTGCTTGTGTGAAAGCTCAACCCGCCAGGAGCTTGGTAGAAAGTTCAGTGCAGTTGGTTCCAATAAAAAATGAAACTCGCTTTTTTTCATGTGGAGCTGGAATTCCCGATCCTTCTGAAGTGAGAACACAGCGGGGGTTTCCCTACCGAGGGACTTATTGCAGCCATAAAGTCAAGCCAACACCACGAAAACACTTGAAAACCCCCCTTGTTCCTGGAGTCAGACATAGAAAGCTATTGGCAGCAGAGAAACCTCTCTTGTAATGCTCATGTACACCCCAAAACACATCGGAAAAAAGCCCCGACAGAGCCGTGCAGAACTCCAGGGCTGGAGCAGTTAAAACAATGACCCTGAAGGTGTAAAAAAAATATAAAATACCCGCTTTTCCCGCACATAACCGCCTGAAACTTAATTTCCAGCAATTTAAGTTTAATTTACCTGACTTCCCGTGCAGTGCATAATAACCTGGTTAATGGCATCTTTGAAAAGAAGCAATAATAATCTGCCATTGTTCCATTATAGAGTGCAGCTAATTATTAACAACAACAAAAAAAAAAGGGGGAGTGGGGGGGTCGGGACTGAAGCGGAGGAGAGGGGCACTGGGGGACTCAAACCACATCCAACCCAAGCATTTCTGCCACAGCAAGTTCTGGGAAGTAGTAAGCCGAGGTGGAACATTAGGAAAGCAGGGAAAAGCAGAGGAAAAAGTGAGATGGATCATGTAATGTGAAAAGCGAATGCCGGGGGGTGCTGGGAGTTGCAGCATGGAACAAGTTAATCGTGGCTGTTGCTGGTCAGAAGAGAGAAACTTCACCCCGCCACCCCCCCCCCCCTTTCTTTTTTGCTCTCTTCTTTACCATAGTCCCTGGCATCTCACTTTCTTGGAGAAAATGTCTCTCGTCTGGACATAAACAGTTGCCAGGAAACTGTGTGGCAGGAGGAGAAAACGAGAGGGAGAAAGAGAGCGGGAGGAAGGGAGACAACGAGAAACCTTTGAACATAACAGGCAGGCATTGTCCCTTCAGCCCCCACGGGAGCCCAAGGGTGACTCCTTGGACCCAGCAGCCACCCCCAGGCCGTGCTCCTGACAGACCCCTCGGGGTGACCACTGGGAGCGAGAAATAATAAACGCTCCTTTTAGGATTAGCTAAAAACCCCGTTTTAAACCAGCCTCGCAGCCGTGTTTCACGCTCGGCCACCCGCCTTTCCCACTCGTGTGCATGCGGACACAGGAGAGGCCGCACATGTGTGAGCACACACGTGTTTGCACACGCGTGACACGGCTTCACACGCGCACCAGCAGAGGTTGGGGGCTGTACGGATCGACACGCGTGTTGGGATGCTCGTGGCTCACATGCGGGTGCACAGGAGCGGGGGCGACCTATGGCTCATGCCCAGCGCCTCTGGGCCCTACGCGGAACTGAGAGTCCGCGCTCGGTGCGGAACCGGGCACCGTGGAGGAGAAGCGAGTCCAGGAGTGGGACCGGAGGCTGCGGTCCCGGGGTGACGGGAATGCAGCCAGGGCAAGGCCCCCCCCCCCCGCCGGGACACCGGCTGCGGGAGCCCCCCGGGAGCCGCCGGCCGCCGCCGCCGACAGTAGATGGCAGCAGACGGCGGGGAATGGGCGAGCCCCGGCGGCAGCCCCGGGGGAGGGAGCGGCGGGGGGGGCTCCCCTCTACCGCTGTATTTTATCTTCCCTAATAAATAAGCATGGGAGGATTCCAGGAGGGGACCCGGCCGGGAGAAGCGCGGACACCCCCCATCCCTCCACCCCGGGGTGGTGGGGGGGGGGGTGCACAAGCATTTCTCGTTCATCCCGTGTTGAAATGGTTAAAAAAGACCTGCCCGCAGTGAGATGCGGGATTTCCACAAGTGGTTGACCACGCAGGATAGGGAAAAAATAGGTATAAAAGCGTTTTGGAGCAAGCTTCCTAAATTAAATGATTTTTGAATATATTTTTTCTTACGAATAGCGAAAGAAACAACCCCAAACAACGAACGTGAGGAGGCTTAGGAAAAGGGAGAACAGGCACTTTAACCGGTATTCATTTTTTTCCCCGTGATTTATGAAAAATGTAACAGGTTCGGGAAGAAATAGCTTTTAAAAATGACTTTCTGTTTATTATTTCCGCGGCTTGTGATCATTTACTCTTGTCCACACAATATTCAAGCACAGACAGTTTAGGGCGAGATAAATCGTCACGTCATAAAATGGTTTATGCTTAAGTAATGAATCTCTCCTTACTCAATCTCGCTTCACTTCCTCAGGCTCTTACATTATCTTATTTAAAAATCACCTCGTAACAGTAGCAATTAGTACAATAATTCAATCCCCCATGAAATCTCGCAAAAACAAGAAGATGAAACCCTCCACATTTAAAATCACAGGTATCCCAGACAAACCTTTTCCTAAACCCGAAGATAAGCGTTAGGGTATCACAGAGTGAGGGGAGATTTGCGCATTACCGGGTATGGAAAAGCACCGCCACGCCGTGGGGCTCAGACCCGAGCCAGTATTCCGGCCGGGAAAGCCGTAAAACCCCATTAACACCGCGGAACGCAATTAAATACATGGAGGTTTATTGCATCGCAACGTCAGCTTCATTTGGGAGTTTCACAAGGGGGGGGTGTGTGGAAATACAATGAGAGCGCTGCGCTCGGGGTTGGCTTCATTCTTATTACCTTTTTTTTTTCCCCTTTATTTTTTCCCTTTCTTCCTTTTTTTTTTTTCTTTTTTTTTTTCTTATTTGTTTTCTTTTTAACTAATTTCCAGAGCCTTATTTTCGAGGCCGCCGCGAGCTGCCCTCTCCGAAGAAACCACCCACATAATAATGACCCTGGAGAGCAACGCAAAACCCAACTGGCTTCCACACAAACTTCGCCAAATGACGGGGCTCGCCTGAGGAACAGGCGAACTGGCAAAAGCTTCTGCGAGGGGAGAAAAAATAAACCACCAGAACGACCCGCAAAGGGTTTGCTATTTTTTTAAAGGCAGTATCTAAAAGCCTCCACCACCAAGCTCCTGCAAAATCCTTCACTCCAAGTCTACTATCTCCAGGTGACCTTAAAGGCTTTATTTTTCCTTCTTATTCCGTTGTTTTATTTGTTCTTTTCTTCCTTATTTCCGTTCTTATTTTAATCCTCTGTTTCTTTCTCAATCTCTCTTCCCCCCCCCTTATTTCTTTCTATTTTCTTCCTCTATTTCTTCCCTTCATTCTCTCAATGTCTCTACCTTTTCCCCATCCCTTTTTCTCTCTCCCTTTCTTTCACCTTTACACTACGCTTTTCAAGGAAAATTGTCACACAGATTTCCACCATCCCTGATTTCTTAAAGTGCCTCCCTTTTTCATCACCCCACCCTTTTCTTTCTCCCCCACCCCTGGACAGAGAATATGTGGAATGGAATAGAAAAGGCAGCTTGACAAATGCATTTTCTCAAAGAAAATATTAAACGAAGAGAAGCGTATGATTCCCTTACCTTTTGACGTCCATTTCTGTGGCATAAGTAAAATAGGGAGGGAGAGGGAGACAGCGTTTGCTTATCTGTTAGCTGACAAATATTGTCCCAACCTGAGAGCCGTCGGTCGCCTCTCTGACTTGTGAGAGCTTCTTGCATTTCTGTCATTTGCATAGAAAATGGAGCAACTTCCCTCTTTGAAAAATGATAGCCTCCACTCGGTCCAGAACCTCCTCTGCCCCTCCATGGCTACCGAGATTCCAGATCAGCAGCAAATTAAGAGAGGAATTAAAAAATAATAATAATAATAATAAAAAATCAAAATAAAATGAATAACCAAAAATCCTACAACTCTTTTCCTACGTGCGTGCGGAGATGGGTGCCTGGGGGTGCGTGCGGGTGTGTGCAGGGCTGCTCCCCCCTCCCCGCTCCCCTCTTTTAGCCCTATCGAGCTTATACACAAAAGTAAAAAAATATAAAGAGGCGAGAGCCCTATAGAGGACACTGATCCGACCCAAGGTGCAGCGGACAGAAGAATGGTGCAATATAACCACATGGGAAATAATAAAAAGTTCATGTTCACGGTTAGCAGTCCACATGACCGGCTCTGGCCAATCCCAGAACCCAGCCACTCATAAAGTTCTATCACAAAGTTGTAAATTTTCATAAAACAACAAGGAATTTATTGCATTTCTTCATGACCGGTTTAACAGCAGCCTTTTTCTTAGCCGCCATCTTTTTTCTTTTAAACAAAAATAAAAGAATATAAAAGGGGGTTCAGGGATTTCCAACCCCCCCCTTTGGTTTGCATGGGGGGGGGTATGTGGAGGGCAATAATCGAAATGCTCTTCACACGTTAGGCTAGGAACAATGAGAGCCCCCCCCAGAATAAAGAGCTTGAGGCTGGCGTTGGTTTTTACATGGGGAAAGGCGCAGTAAAACAGTGGGGTTCGCTGGGATTTGGATGTCTTTTTTTTTTGCTTTCTTCCTTTTTTCTTGATGCGATTGGGATCGTTTCTGCTGAAAGGGGCAATTATCAGAATTTGGAGGGGGGGGAAGGGAGGCAAATAGAGGCAATGAAAGCGTGGCCTTCGGCTGGGGGGGTCGGGCCAGACACCCCCAAAGAGCCCCCGGAACCCCTTCCGAGCCCCCCGCAGCCCTTGTTATAGCAGGGTGCGTCTGTGTGCTCCGGTAAGGTGGGTCACCCCGCGGGAACCCCCTGCCCTGGCTTTAGCACATGGAACTGTGACTCCCTTTGCCTTATTTTCATGGAATTCTCCCCAGTTCCTACTCGCCCCCCCATCCCGCTCAGAGGTCGGTGTCAGGGGGGGCCACTGCAGTCCGGGAACCGGGGGGGGGGGGGGGGGAAGGGAGGGGGAATATCTGGGACTGCTTCTCCTTTTTTTCCCTTTTCTTCCCTTTTTTTCCTTTTTTTTTTAGTTTTTCTTTCCCTTCCCCATCCCCGCTCTGCACAGAGCGCTCCCGAAGAGGGATTGCACCAAGGGGTTTCACCAAGGAAAAACGGAAATTTCCCTCTATTTCCCTTCCTTTTCAGCGTGCAAACCCCGTAATAGCTGCTCCCCTTAATGACGGGCTTCCCATAATTAGTACATCCCGCGTAGACTGCGAGTTTGTGCTGGAGACGTGGGCGCGCAGATGCTTGACGTGGCGTCTTATTTGGGGTAAAACCTGCTAAAGGATGCGCTGCGCGCCTTCACTTTGGGCATGAGCATCGGTGGTTGTGGGTGGTGGAAGATGGGGCGGGGGGGACATGGAGAAGGTGCAAAAAGGCCCCGCTGGCTGCTTCCACCATGGGCTGCGATAGGTTTTTCCCCTTGTGCATCTTGCGCAATGCGTTTTATGAGTAAATTACGCGGAGCCTCCGAGGGAGGAATCCGCAGCTTTACTGGCAATGTAAATAAAGAGGCGGGAGGGGGAAAGGGAGGCGGAGGATGCGCCCCTGCGCAAGTGCTTAGGTTTACTCTCCTTTTGTTTTGCATTGTTGATTTTTCCTGCCTTTAATTGCTTTAATTTCTTTTATGCGCGCTTTGATGCTAAACACTATTTGGGGCTGATGAAAGAGTTCCAGTCCGCAGGAAAGTAATTGAAGGGCGGAGGGAGAACCGAGACAAAATAAAATCCTAAAGGCACGGCGAAATAGATAGAGTTTCTGCAAATTAGTTACGAGAAGAAGAAAATTAAAACCAGGAGCGGAAAGACCATTTGGGGTGATTCTGGCTTCTTTACGTTCGCCTTTTATGCCTTGTCTTCTTCAGTCACAGCGCCAGCGCAGTCACAGGGGCAGAATGGAGACCAATCCACCTTTAGAGCCCCGAATGTCAATTTTACATTACTGTATTCGCCAAATCTATTGGAAAGGTACTACAATTTTCCAAGGAGTGACTGTCCTAAAATAGGAGAGAAGTTTAGGATGATAGATCGGGGCATGTATTAATCTGAAAGGTTCTTTTAGTACATTTATTTGAGATGGGAAAAAGCAATTCTAAAAGCCCGTATGTTATTTTAAAGAAGAAATCAAGTAGGAACCTAACGCGGTTGTGGATTATTGGAGATTTCCTTTTTATTTCGAATAATAATAATCACAGACAAGGGTAAAAAAAAAAAGCAACTCGTCGCCATTAAATAATTTGCTACTTTGATATACAACATCTTAGGTAGCACAATATTAATTCATCTTCTTTTGTGTTTTTTGTTTTCGTAGAGACTTGAACAACGAAGAAATCCAGATAAAAATATACACAGAGGAAAGAGCATAGCAGGGAGAAAAGAACCGCGGAGGTTGCAGGGAGAAGGAGTAACCATCATTCCTATTATGTACAGGACTCTATATGCTAAGCAGAATTTGCATTCAGACTTTTCAGATCACGTTTTCTAAATTAAAGGTGCTAAACACGACCACGTTACTTCATACCGAAAATACACAGCGAAGTACAAACGGAGCTTTACCAATTACTTGGACTATAGGAAGACTCACATAGAAAAGTGTGTCTATTCTGACTCTAAAGCCACAGGAATAGGTAGATCATCATTCTATTGTACAAAAAAAAAAAAAAAGAGAAGACTTTAATATAGGTAGTATTTTTTTCAGTGTCATGAAACACAAAGTATCATTCCTAGGGTTTTTAATTACTTATGGACTTATCATTTATCTATTTTAATATATAGTCTTTTTTTTTCTATGTGTTTTCCCCCTCTTTCCTTCTCGCGTGGGTTTCCACGTTTCCTGCCTCCATCTCTTGCCCCTTTTCACTCTTCCTCATCGTCCTCCGCATCTGGTTTTTCCTGGCTGTTGGAGCCGGAGCAGGCAGTTTTATTTTCCTTTTTCCACTTCATGCGCCTGTTCTGGAACCAGATTTTGATCTGTCTCTCGGTGAGACACAGAGCATGGGCGATCTCGATGCGTCTCCTCCTCGTCAGGTACCGGTTGTAGTGGAATTCCTTCTCCAGCTCCAGGGTCTGATACCTGGTATAGGTCTGGCGGCCGCGTTTTCTGTCGGTGCCTGCGAAATAAATGGAGATTCGGATCAGATGGGGCGGCAGGGAGAGATGTTTTGTGGGCTTATGGTCTAGTTGCTCTCTCACTGCTGCCTTTGGGCCCCATGGAAGGACAGAGCCCTCGGAGGAACTGTGCAACCTGCGACATCCCTTCTTTGAATTTACGAGACCGATTCCTTCTGCTCGAGGCTTTCCCCTCCACGTTCTCAGGCCCCAAACCACCTCAGCTTTAATTCCCCTTCATCTCGGAAAAGCGAGCCGTGTTGTTTTTTTTTGGCGTGTCTCCGAACGAACAGCAAACTTCAGAAAGTTTCCTGCCCTCGCAGCACGGCTCAAACACTCAGCTCCTGCTTTAATTTTCATTTAAACACCACCGATTTTGGCTGGTTGGGGAATAAATATGGAACCGCAGCCGAGCAGAGCCACAGACGCATCTGCTACCTACACAAATCCAACTATTTGTCCTCTCTTAAAGCTGTCATCAGGGTGCCTGCTTGGAAGGTGTGTGATGATCTTAATTATTTCAGGGGATGTTTTGGGCCAGGCAGTGACTTCTGGGGCTGGAAGGGGAGCTGCTACCCCTCTTGCAGGGGGGTACATGGATGAGAAGAGCCTCAACACTCCCCCCACTCTTCCTCTCACCCCCAGCTGCCTGCAGCAGGGCTTGGAAAGGGCCCAGCTCCTAATTCTCCCTTCCACCAGACATTTCCTGCAGCCTGATTGGAAATAGTTCTACAATATGGTGTTTGTGATCCCAACTCTATGTTATATGCAAATGCTACATATCTCTCTAGTATAACATATTCCTTCCCCGAGCAGAGGTGATGGCGAACAGCAGCTCCCGGCCTCTTCTCCACACATTCCACTGGACTCCTCTTCTTCTTCCCTTCTTTTTTTGTTCTTTTTTTCCCACCCCTCTTTCTTTTTAAAAGAAGAAAAGATCCAGTCATTAAAAGGAGAGGGATAAAAAAAGGCAAAATAGCCAGGCTAGCTGTAAAGTAAAACTGTGCAGGTCGTGGAATGTGGGTTGTAAAATCCGCTGAGGGGAGAGCCATAAACTGCTGCTGAATAGGGATGACAACTCTATCTCTGCTCGCTGATGAAATTCCACAAGCGCGATCGCACAGTGGGCATGAGGCACGGGAGCGGGGGGGACGACGACCCCTCTTTTACGACCGAGGTCGAGTTTCTCTGGTTTTAGGCTCAGCAGATCCCAGAGTATCCCAGGTTTTTTGAGTGCAGGACCCCACGTTTACCCTGTTTCCTCTCCAGTGTTGACCCTCGCAGCGTCACAGACTAAACGGGGGTGAAGAAGGGGGGGGCTTCTTAAATCTAAAGCCAGATAAAAGCAGAGATGAAGTGTTTATGACCAGAAATATTTGGTCTTTGATAAACCCACTGTAAACTGCATGAATTATGGAGCAGGTAATGGAAAGAACTGACCACCAAATAAGTGTGAGGGTAACTCCTGCCTTTATAAGCTTCTGTACATTGGCTGCTTCGGTGTTTTCCTTTCCCTGGGCTTCGCGGGGAGCCTGGGCCCACAACCCCTCAGCCCAGGGTCACTAAGACCCGTTCCGAACGATGTCTGGCAGGGCAGAGACGAGGCGGGGACGGCTGAAGATTAGACTCTCGCCTTCCCATCTGCTCCCAGCTGGGACAGCAGCGCCTTCCACATCCCCCGCTTGGGATTGCACTCTTGTAAACATCATCACGCGTGCACAAGGACAGAAGCCGGGCTGCTCCGAGAGGGGGGGTCACCGTCAAGGGGGAACTCGGGGAGACCAAAGCGGAGACCGAGGAGGGAAACAGGGAGAGCCGGTGCCGCTCCCGTTCGAGGAGAAATGGATATTTATTAACCATTAATTGACATTAATACCCTGGGACGGAGCGCTCTGGGGACCGAGGGCAGCGGCTCCGAGACACAGCGTGTGCATCGTGTCTCTGCGTCGGGCCTCCCCCTCTCCGCTCTCGCGGAGCGCTGCGCGGCCTTCCGCGGGGCTGCGCTGCTCTGCTCACCGGCAGGGCCACACCAAGCCGCCCCGCGGTCCCACGGAACTTTGCACCGCACCCCTCCGCAATGAATTTTTTCAGGGTGTGACATAGCTAAACATGCTCTCTCCACTATATCCATGCGTCCATCCATCCATCCATCCACCCATCCATCCATCCAACCATCCATCCCTCCTCCTCCATCCGGATTCCGACCGGAGTGTCACGGTTTTGAGAGCGGGGCTTTTTAATCGCACCGGGAATGATGTGCTGCTGTTCCCGATGGAAACACGCTACGGTTAATTGGCGCTCCGGAGATATTGTGGCTGGGGGAGTGAGGGGAGGGACTGGCAAATGAAGGTTTTGCCAGACTAACAGAAACAAAAACAAGCTTGCAAGCGCCTCCCATAATAGTTTCTTTCAGGATCTACATCTACATGGGGGTATCACCATCTCTATCCCGTAAATAGAGAAGAAGGGGCTGGCCATTATTTCTGCAGCTCTGCCTGTCCCCTCTAAGACAAACTGCCTTTTGCATGGCACATACACAGCCCCAGCAACACCAATAAATATTTAAAGCTAAAAGGATGGCTTTATGGCACGAGGGGGGGTGGGGTGGGTGGTCGCTCTCCCCCTCTCTCTTTTGAAGATGCATTTTCAGTGAAACGTCATGAAGGAGTTGGGGACAATTCCCCCTCCCCCTCCTCCACCCCCCCCCCCCCCTCCGCACTCCCATCAAATAATTTACACTCCCTCCCTCCCCCCGGGCTCCTTTCTTTGGGGGGCTGGGGCTTACCTGTGCTCCTCATCCAGGGGTAGATCCGGAAGTTACTGTCGCTTTGCAAATCTGGAGTCCCTTTGGTCCGTTTTGCTGCAGTTCTGCTTGGAGGCATCTCCCGGGCACATCATGGAGAGGTTTTGCTCGAAAGGGGAACAGTGCATGTTGAAGGAGCCGGGCTCCAGGCCGTAACCGGAGGAATACATGCTGGGGAGCTGGGGGTGCACGGCGCTGCCGCTGGAGTACAGCCCGGGCATGGAGGCGGCGAAGGGAGGCGTGGATCCGGCCCCATAGCCCGTTCGCTGGGGTGTTGGAGGCGAAAGCGCAAGAAGTTTGCTCGGGAAAGACTCCGGATGGGAAAACCGAACTTGCGGCTTGATATTTAGAAAATAAAGCATTCGCATAATACAATGAACTCATAATTTGGCCGGGTGATTTGTAGGTCGGGACGTTTTAGTGTCGGTTTTACGAGGTACCGTGATATATTACGGAATTAGAGTCCAGATTTACACCAAAAGGAGCCTTTTTCCTCCCGGCCCGGTGACGCGCGGGCACGTGGCTCCGGCGGCGCCAATCGCCGCCCGCGCCCTCCTCGGGGGCAAAAAGCTGTAGAGCTGCTGGATTTATAAAATATGATAAATAATTGATGCGATATAAACCCCTCCAAGATCTATGCTGGAAGGGGTGAAATTGTGCTGGAGTCGATAAGCAACCTGTAATCAGTTTTCAGCTCAGAATCAGACCGAGGGAGAAAGAGAAAAGAGGGGGGGGGGGGGGTTAAAAGCACGTTGCTGATAAACCAGCGTCTCCCTCTCGGTCTCTCTCTGCTGGAGGAAAAGGAAGGGAGCTCTATTTATCCCTTTATTGATCCCGTCTAAAATTCCCTCCTTCGCACCATTTCCCCGGCTCCGAGGTACTTTTTCACAAGACTGTACATAATTCCCTCCCCCCACTGACCCTCTTCCCCCTCTTGCCCCCCCCCACCCCCCCAAAAAAAAAAAAAAAAAAAAAGACAAATGTCTCATTGATACCTAATAGTTTAATAGTTTCAGGGCTCTTTTTTTTCCCCAAATGCCATTCAGCTCTATCTGTAATCTATTCCAGTGCCACAGGCTTTGAGCTTCGTATCGAGCTGGCATTTGCTTTTCTTGTTGCGAAAAAGGAGTGTATACAGATCCCTTGTTCGGCGTGTCAGCGGTTCTGCGGGGCTCAGTTGCAGTTAGAAGTCAAACCTCACCAGCTGGCTGCTTTGATTTCTGCTGGAGAAGCAGGGAGAGCTTCCAAAATGTGGGGTTTTTTTCCTTTTTTCTTAGGGAGGGTTAGGCAGAAGGCAAAGCTTATACATGCAGGAGCAGCCACCAGACAATGGGGGCTGTGGACCAGGGGCTGATGCTGCTTCTCCTTTCCCAAGGTTATGTTTCAAGGCGGGGGGGGGGGGGGTGTGCGTCCCCGCGCTCCTCTGCTCCATGGCAGGGCAGCTCCAGGAGCAGAAAACAGCTCAACTGCGCGACTGACACGTCTGGTTTTTTATTGCAAGGAGCTGAGTGGGAGGAAGGGAAAGGAGGACCCGGAGCTGGGCTTCGTCTGGCAGGGCCTGGGGAGGGGGGAGACGGGGAAAGGAGGAAAGAGAAGGGAGGGGGGAAAAGCAGCAAAACAGCAGACGTTACCTTCAGGAAGGATTTCCACACAGCCTCCCAACCTGTCACCACCCAGGAGCTCTGCTGGGAAGCACAACAAGAGCAGGAGCCGCCGCCGCTGCGCGCCCCTCCCCGCGGCGCCCGGCCGCAGCCCGGCCGCAGCCCGGCCCCGCGCAGCCCCGGCCAGGGCAAAGCAGCCTTTGATGGCCGGGCTGCAGCTCCCACACAATTGACTTTTATTTCCTTTCTATCAAAGTGGTCCTGGAGGAAATGGAGCAGGGTAAAAGAATGATGTCACGGGATTCTCGCTTGTAAACTTTATTGTAACTTTCTTCCGCCGCTTCCAGGTTTAGACAATAGAACAAAGTGATGAAAGAACAACAAAATATATCATTAGTTCCCCCAATAAAGTAATTCACGTATACAGTATACATTCTTTTTCACAGTTAACCTAAAGATCACTTTACAACTTGCTTCACTGTGCGCATGCTAACTAAAGGAGAGAAAAAACGCTTTTTTTCTTGTATTTTTTTCTTTTTTTTCCTTTTTTCCTTTTTTTGAAGAGACATTTAAAAAGTGTGAAAAAAAAAAAGAAAAAGAAAATGCCGAACCAAGGCAAGGAACAGAAGCAGGGAAAGCAAAGAGAGAAGGAGAGATAACTATAGCATAAATAGGCAGTTTCATGTTGTTGGGATGTTTGTCTCAATAGCTACCTCCAGTACATACAGATAAACCACAAGAAAAGAGGTGGAAATTCAACAAAAATCAAAGAAAAAAGTGCACAAATGTAATTTCACGTAACTCCTATAGCATTGAAAGCTAGGTTAACCAACCCACCCCCCCGGACAGAAGAGAGAGACAGAGAGAAAGACAGAGAGAGAGAGAAGATTTCACAGTCATGTTTTACATAAGCTATTGCGTTACACTACCACTAGTTAATAACTGGCAAAAGGCAGGAGAGACCTCCCGACCACTTTTGCATACTGTTCATTGTATCAAAGGATAATCAGGGAAGTGGTGCTTACAGCTATATTGTTTTACAGCAATAAAAGGTTTCTTTTTTTTTCTTTTTTCTTTTTTTTTTTTCCCCTTTCTCTTTTCTATGCATTGTTGGTTTTTTTCCCACCCCTTCCTTACATTAACTGCCATTAACGTGGGGCTCGAGGGCTCCGCCACCCCAGCAGCGCTTGCCTTTCAGTCCTTAAAAATCCTTTTATTTCTTGTCCGCCTTCTGTGCTTCCCCTTCCTCGTCCACCTCCTGGGCCCTTTCCATTTTCTGTTTTTCCAGTTCTTCCTGCTCGCATTTGCTGCTGGGAAACTTGTCTTTGTTGTTTTCCTTTTTCCATTTCATCCTCCTGTTCTGGAACCAGATTTTGACCTGCCTTTCTGTCAATCCCAGGGCATGCGAGACCTCGATCCTCCGTTTGCGGGTCAGGTAGGGATTAAATAGAAATTCCTTCTCCAGTTCCAGGGTCTGGTAGCGGCTGTAGGTTTGCCTCCCCCTCCTCCGTCCAGCGGCTGCTGGGGAATTGCAAAGGTTGGGTGGAAGAGGGGAAGAAGAGAAGGAGGTTGAAAGATACATAAACCAGGCTCGGGAATAAGCACACACAGGCTCACACCCGCTCGCACACGCTCACACACACTCACACACGCAGGCACGGGAGGGGGAGGAAGAAAGGCCTGGCAGGAGCGAAGGCAGGAAGCGGAGAGGGAGAGGGAAAGGCTCCCGTAGAATATTATACAAGGGAAGATGCTTCTAAAGGAAAAGGGGTGATGGTGGCACGGAAGGGGGGGTCACCCACCAGCCCACTCCGGGCAGCTTAGCTGAAGCCTGCACTTGCACACTTATTATTACCCCCACCATCGCCACCAGCACAGCAACAACAACAACAGAAGGCTCCGGCTCTTTGGGATGCCGCAAAGAGAGAAAAAAAAAAAGAGCTGCAGCCCGGGGAGAAGCAGCAGCACCATCGAAATCCCAAACCAAACGCAAAACAAAAATGAAGGGGCTTTTTAAGGCTATAAAAGTGCCATAAACTTTAAGGACGCTTCCTTCCACAGAAAGCCAGGCGCGCTCAGCCCCCAGAAGAAAAGGTCTCCTTCAGGGTAATTAAACTATAAAGCAATTTACAAGTGCAAAAGTTTACCCCCATAAAGCAGTAAAATACAGTCACTGGGGAAGAAAAAGGGAGCGAGAGAAAGCGAGCAAGCGAGAGGGGCAGCGAGAAAGCGCGGGGGGCAGCTCTCCGGGCTCGGGAAATGCCTCCTCGGTTCCTTCCCACCTCGCCTCACCTTGCGGGCGCATCCAGGGGAAGAGCTGGGTCGGAGAAGGGCTCTGCTCCGAGCTCTCCGCCTCCTCTCCGAGGCCGCTGGCAGCGAGCTTGCAGTCCGTGTACTGCACCAAGTCCGAGTCCTGGGCGCTGAAGAGGCTCTGCCTTTGCAAGGGGTCGTAGCCATAGAAGTTGCCGGGGTCCCCATGGCACGCCACGGCGCAGGGATTCTGTTGGTAAGGGGAGCTGGAGAGTGAGGATGCTCCGTGGTAGAACTCCTGGATTTGGGTCGGGTGCTGGAAGGTGCCCCCCGTGCTGGGTCCGTACACCACTGTGGGTCTGCCCCCCAGATCCTGAGCGAACCCGCAGTCATAGTAGTTGGGACGTAAGGAGTCCCCGGTTTTGTATTTGGAGAAGAGTGAGTTGACAAAATAAGAGCTCATTTTAATTGAAATAAGAATATTTGTCTGGAGGAGGAAGAAAATTTCACCAAAAAAAAAAAAAAAAGGAAAAAAAAAAAAAAAGAAGCCAACCAAACCCAGAGCTCGGGAATCTATTAGGAAAAAAAGAACGCGCTAAGATGCAAAGCAACGACAGTTTGTGATTTCCAGGAATATAAAAGGAGGATATAATCAAAACTCTAAGCCTGCATGATATTGAATTCCTTCCTCCCCCCCCACCCCTAAAAAAAAAAAAAGTCGCCACTTAAAGAGTTCTCGCTTTACATTTCCAAGAAGAGATGCCAGTTCATAAACAGTTTTCAGTGATTTACTTCAGCGCAAATGAGTTGTTTCATATTTTGCAGTGTCTTTTCATGATCATTTGCATCTATTACCAAAACCTCATCCTATTGGCTTCTCCTTACTCCACACGGACTCTGCACCGCATGATTGTGAAAGGAAGAGTGTGAGAGAATAAAGAAGGAAAAGCGAGCGAGGGGGAGCGAGAGGGAGAGGGAGCGAGAGAGGGAGCGGAGGGGAAGGGGAAGGAGGTGGGGTGAATATACGGATTAAATATGTTTAACTACCTCCATTAATGAGATATCGCTCGCCTCACAACAAATCACATACCTAGGCCACCCAAAAGATTGATTTTTGGGGAGTGTTGGAAAATTAAAGAGTAGCGCTCGCAGTCGTTAATTTCGAAATTTTAACGAGGCAGTTTTAGCCTTTTTAAATGTCAGGGTCGCTTTGGAAAACTGTAAAAGAACACGATTTAATTGCTACCAGTTTTAAAAGGTCCTATAAATGTAATTGGTATTTTAATACAAGTTATCAAATCATACAGCTTCTTACCCTAAACATATTTTAAAACAAACGAGGTAGTCATATTTAACATTTTAATGATCAATTTCCTTATTATTGATAAAGGTTTAACTATCACATGAAGGGAATTGCATTTGTAATAGCCCCAAAAAAGGCTGTAAACTGTTTAACAAACTATAAAACGCCATAAAGCCGGGGATGTTGTTGTTGTTTATACCGCACTACATAAAAGCCGTTAGGATTTTACGAGTTCGTTCTTCCACTGCTATAAACCAGAGGTTTCGATTGGACCCGTCCGCGTTGCAGCGAGATGTTGAGGTGTCAATATTGAATTCAAATGATCAGAGTTTCCCATGTATAAGGTTGACTTTCCGCCTTTCTCCCCCCCCCTTTTCCTCCAGGATTTGGCCAAGATGCGACTGGGGGCGATTGGGACTGGAACTGTCGTGTCGCTTATCGCACCCCGACCAGAACCTGTCTGGTCAGTAGCTGATGGCTGTTCCCTACCTCAACCCCTCCCCAAGAACTTCCATTTTATTTATTTAATTATTTGTTTCATGATACCCCCAATGAAAACTGGGAGGAGGGGATTGAGGGGGGGAGTGTGGGTGAGAGGCTTTCTATTTTATTGGCATTTGGTAACAACGGAGCAAACTTACCCCTAAGATGCCAACGTTGCAATTTTCCACCATCTAAACACACAGGGGGTAGATTTTGAAATTCATTTATCGCAGTCAGCAAATATTACTGAGACGTATTTCAGCTAATAACGACACAACCCCCCAGCCCAGCGCTGCCCCAGCCTCTCACTATCCCAGCTCTATTTTCCGATCCTTCAACCTTCAATAAGACTTAAAGGCACTCTTTTAAACCTCTATTATTTCATTTTTTGCCCCCCCCCCCCCCCCCCCCTTTGCACTGGGTAAATTTCTGCTCTTTCCCATTTCATCCTTCTGTGCGGGTTTGACACGGGAAAGGTGAATTAAAAGCGATTTCCCTTGTGCCTGGCTTCAACCGAGGGACTATTTTCAATCTCCACAACATGGAAAAGAGGAAAAAGTTGCGATGTTTCGGTTAGTCTGTCTTGCCAGGGCTTTGGGCGAGAAAATTAAAAATATTGGATTAAAATTGGCAGTGGGAATAGGCAAGGAATAAAGAAAGAGAGAAAGAAAGAGAGTGGGGGAAAGAAAGAAAGAAAGAAAACAAAGATAGTAAAGGAGTAAAACTTTAAAACCATCCTCAGAGAAATAATTTAAGTAAATACGTTTCCTTTATTTTGTGTTGGGATAATTTCAGTCGAGTCTAAGAGCCTTTTCAAGTAATTATTGTTGTTGGAGTACTTGCAGCGGTATAATTAAGGCTTTTCCCCCTCCAAAAGACAAGTTGACGTTTTCTTTTCCCCAACACTTTTATTGTCGATTGAGCAGCTTTTGGTTTCGGCTTTGAACATAAAGCCCCGAAATGGTGCACACAAGTAAATAGAGCTTCTCAGCCTGGCGTGGGGATGCTCGAGTTTTCAAGAAGGGCAAATAGATGTAAAAAGAAGAATTGACTGAAGTATTTTTGGAAGATGAGCTCTCTCCTATGTGTTTTTACTGGCGTACCCCTTCCATTGAAGTTCGTAAAGTAAAAAATAACAGGAATTCCCTTTCGTATGTGGACCCCATGGAGGAGGGAGCGAAGTTGTTCTTGGAAGTTAACATTTTTATCAAGTGGAGTAGAATTTTATGGTCATGATGTAATGGTAACTCACCAACGCACCAGAAATCAATGCCTGATCTTAAATCATTCCTATACTGTACTCAGATTCCTGATGAAAGGAAAATGTTTCTATTATAAGAAAAAACAAGCGGAGATGTGTGTGTGTGCATGTCTCTGAGAGAGAAGATAATTTATAAATACCCAGTGGAGGAAAGATTTATTAGGAATTCATAAGGAAAAAAAAAGAAAAAGGGTAAAAAAAAAATAAAAGAAAAGAACCCCAAACCCTCCTAGATAAACCTGAAGTTTTCCTGCTCTGCCTTTTCCCGAGTGCACAAGGACAGGATTTGTCTTTATTTTCCCCATCTATGCCTGTTTACATTTCTATTTCATTTTATAGCGTTTAAACAGGGCCTGGAGATGCTTAAGCTCTTAAAACAACACATCGCATCCTGCTCTGTTGTGTGTGTCGGGTTAATTTGTTACATTCTCGTCCAGAATGCTGCTCACCGAGGAACGGGTTTATTTTCTGGGGTGGCTTCGGAAAAAGCATTGATTCAGAAAATACCTGGTTTATAGAGATTTGAAAGAGAATTTGAAACCTTTGCCACAGCTCCTTTCCATGGTATTTGGAGCTGAATTTGCAGCTGAAGGACTGGAACGCCTGAATCATTTTTGTCTTGTAATTTTGAAGAAACAAAGGCCAAAATAAAAGTGAACTAATAGAGTTTAGAGTTTACATCTTGGCTGCTGCATCAGTGGGGTATTTATACGTGTCACAAAAGGCGCTGAGTTAATGGCATTTTGGATTAATTTACTGGGCTTTAGCATTTAAAAATACTTGCAAAGAGAGTTACCAAAAGATGGAGCAACTATGTCCAAAATGACTGGTTCCACTTCCAACAAAAGCATATATTAGGGTTTTTTTTAGGCGATGACTATGGGTATTGAAGATATAAAAGCAGGAGAAAGCGCAGATCGTTCCAATGGCTTAGGTAAAGAGCCAGGGGACAATGTCCTGACTCTGTTTGTGCCTTTCTTCCCGAAACCTTCCAATCTCTTTCCCCATCCTGCAAACGTAAATCTTCGCTTTGGAGATAATGAAGCGTCCTCCTGCCTCCACCTGCACCAGCAGAAGACAAAACGCGAGGCACTATTTTTTTCTCCCCTTTAAATGAACATTTAAGAGAGATGCATGTCCCACATCTCCCTGTATCTCAGGCTCCAGATTAAGTCTCTTTTAAAAATATTTATTTATTTATTTCAGCCTCATATAATTTACCCTCGCAGGGAAAAAAAAAATAGATGCAACCTATAAAATTGGCAAAATAGCGATAATTAACCCTATATTTTATGCCTCGGGATTATTCATGCTCGCCGTTAATGAGATCAAGGTGTTACGCGGGACAACGCGGCCGAGCGCGGGAGACGCGCGTCTAGCGTGGAGCAAGGGCGCCACCTCGCGGCGCCGCGCGGAGCTGCAGCCTGCGCAGAGGGGCTCAGAGGTTTCCTTAGCGGAGGAAGGCAGATAAAGGGGGGTCCCACTCGGACCTGGAGGAATAAAACGAGCCAAAAAGCGAGGGGAGGAGAGGGGGGAAAAGAGGGGGGGGAAAGAGAAAAGTGTCTCCCTCCCCCTCGCCCCGCAGCGCTGAAGTTTTCCGCGCGGAAAACTCTGCCATCCAGCCGCTCTGGCCCGCAATAAAAGAGGCAAAATGGGTTTGCTTTTGAAAACCGCTATTGTTTCAAATCCCGAGACTAAACAATTGGTCATTCTGTTCTGGAGGGGGAAAGGCCCGAGCTGTAAACCCATAAAGAGCTTCCCAAGCCCAGACGTCTCGCCAGGGTTTGGAGTGTGGGGGTGCCCCTTGTGTGTGTGTTGTTGTTGTGTGCATGGCTCAGCATTCTGGCAGCCTGGAATTGCTTTAAAGGAAAAAGAGAAAAAAAAAGGGGGGGGGGGGAGAGAAAGAGAGAAGAAGAAGGGGAAAAAAAGAACAAAGGGAATGATCCAGAGCGCTGGACTTTCACGGCATCTGCAAGAGAAGAATAAATTAGCAAAAGTCCCTCCCCACCTTTTCTCTCCCTCTCTTCTCCCTCCTCCTTATTTTTTAACTGCCCCCTCCCTTAGGGAAAAAAAACAGAAAATAAAGGGGGGGGGGGGAATAAAGAGGGAAAGTTTGCATGTGACTGGATCAGAAATAAGAGCATTTGCACGTTGGGTTTCCCCACATTCCCAAGTCGTTGTAGTAATTTAGGAGTTCCTGAAAGTTTTCTTGCACTGTTTCCTTTACAGCCGTTTAGTTCCTTAACCTTCAGAAATTTATACCCTATAAAGTTTTATAGCGGTCATATTCTTTTATTGCAGCACACTGCACTGAATTTTCCCTTTTTTTTTCTTTTTATGACAAGTTACTTCCCTTTCTCTCTCTTCCCTCAGTAAGCTCCAAATATCTTCCTTCTTCTTTTGTTTTCTTTTCAGAGCTGCCCCAAAGAAAGGATTTTCTTAAAGGAGTGAAATACTGCCCTTTAGAGCGCCCATTATGTTAAAAATCAGTGGAAGGAGATTCTTGGTTATATTTCTCGCTACCTGCTTCCTGCAGGGCTGAGCAGGTCTTAGGGTTTGTTTGTTTTTTAAATATAGAGATAGAAACACTTCCCAAGCGCTTGTGTTTCTTCATGAGCAATAAAACGTCAAACGAATTCAGAGACGGAATTCTAGGAACCGCTCATTGAGCCCTTGGAAAAAGGAACTGCGTGTCAAATCCGAGGTGATGCCACGCAGGGAAAGCGGGGTGGGGTTTCCCGCTGTTTGGTTTGGGTTTCTGATTTTCCTTTAGCAAAGTTTTCCTTGGGCAGTGAGGGGAATAAACCAAGGGAAGTCAAATAACGCCAGTGCAGCTCCGCGCTCCTGGTCCACTAAGGCTGCTGCGGGGATGCAAAGATTAACCCCTCAAAACCAAATAAATAAGCAAGCAACCAAGCAACCACCGGGAAATGCACCCCGAGATTAACGATCTCCAATTTAGAAACCAAAAATCAAATAAAGCATTATTAGAAAGGCAGCAAGTTTGTGTGGCGAGTAAGCACTTGCTGCTCCAGGGAAGAATTCTTTCCATTTGTTTCTGGGCATCCCTTTTTAAAACCTAAGCAAAAATTGATTCTTCTAATACACTTTAACGAGCCACTGAAGAAGGCAAGAAAAGAATGAAAATATTTCTGATTTTTTAGATGAAGCAGTAGAACACAATGACATATCGCTGCTGTTGTTCTAAAATCGATTTTTATTCTGGAGCATTAAACATCTCTGGAAAATACATCCGGGCTGATGCTACAGAAGACAGCTTTTCCAACTTTTTTTTTTTCCTTTAAAGTAAGCATATTTCCTAATAAAATGAACTAACGTTTTAAAATCTATTTAAAAAGAACCTTATATTCGTCTTAAAAATAGCCGCTCTTTACCACAACTCTAAGGAAAGTGAAAAACGTTTCTAAGTCCCAGTGGCCGATGGGTTGCAAACCTCAATTAAGTCACGGATACACTTCTGAAAAATATAGTAGTGAGGATTTAGGCAAATCCATGCTCAGCTCGAGATGGGAGGAATATTCCAATTCAGCATGAAGCATTTGAAATTCATCCATCCTTGAGAAGAAGCAAATCAAACGGAAAGATCTGACTGCTCAGCTTAAACACAGCGAAAACGTCTTTTTCCACCCATCATCTGTTTGGTTCAATAAAGAAATGATCCTGCTGCCGCCACCTTCTTGATTTCCCCCAGCTCAAAATGTCTCCGAAAGAGCTTTTCTTAATTTAATTTCGAGGAGGGAGATCGGGGGCTTTGACACGGGGTGAGCCTTGGTTACATTGAGCTCCCTCCGGCAACAGAACAGTTAAATTTGGGAGCCCCCAAGGAGCTACTTCAGGATGGAAAGTTTTACAGGAGAAAGTCTAGGCACTAGAAAAAAACCCAGCAGACTTTCAGAGGGATGGGGTTTAACGCTGAAGGTCCGGTTTCTTGTCCAGGGGAAGGTATTTTTTTATCCTTTCAGAAGGAATTGGAGAGGGGAAACTTTAGCCCTCCTCCATTCTTATCTCTGAATCCCGGGGGGGGGGGAGGAGGATGAGGGGAG